AATCAAAGGGATAGGTGAGGGACAACAAAAGAATTGCTTATTTGATTTTCATTCTTTTTTCTTCTGAATAACTTAAATCTGAGAGCAGAAGAGGTATGAATACATGGTAAATGGGTCAAACAGCAGGACTCTAGGTCTTTCCCAAATCCCAAAATAGCCTGTTATATTCTTTTCCTGAACAGTGTGAGCATTTGTCTCATATCTTAACTGAAAGGGCCCTGTAAGAGGTTCTTGCCGGGACAAAGGGAATCTGTTCTAAAGCTGAACTGACAGTTCCTCCTCCACAGTCTGAAACCCACGAGCAACTCGGAGATGGCACGCTCTGGGCTCTGTAAAACCCACGGCTGCTTCTACTTCAAGCGGAAGCCAAGAACTCCCCAGAGGAGCCACCATTCAAGATGACCACGTCCACAAAGGTGGGGGAGAACTGTAACAGCACCCACGCCCGTGTCAGCATACGGAGGAGCCCCACGAACAGACAGGACAGTGTGCTTGGTATCTTGTGACAACTTGTCCACTTCACTTTGACCCATTTCCAAAAATCAGGCACAGAGTTAGATTCAGTTCCACTCTATAGTCCTGTTTGCTATCTCTGGACGGTTGGTGGAACCTTGTGAAAAGTTCCTGTTAGGGTTTCAGCCCTGCAGTGGGCATGAAGGGAAGAGTCGTGTCCCACTTTTGTAATGGAGCGAGACCAGGGTGGCAGAGGCAATCAGGGAAAGACCTCCAAGGAAAGGCGACTCCTGAGGACGAGAGTTAATCAGGGCTGTCTGGTAGCCCTCCCCCGTGATGGCAGAGTGCCGCCCTCATTGTCAACCATGGAGGGCCATGGTGACGCTGTATTGAGGAAGCTGCTGGGTTTCTTTACACGTGGTGCCAGCACTGAGGCTCTGGCTGCTTTGCCACAGGAGGAGTCCTAGGATTCTGTGGGAGAAGTAGAAGGCCAAGGGCACTCTTGCTAAGAAGTGCCTGTGGACTTGCACACACTTGGACTTACGCTCGGGGAGGAAGCTGTCAGAAACACAGGGTCTAGACAAAAAAAAGTGATTCAGGACATACACCGGGGGACAGCTTATCTTGCCTCTAGATCTGGAAATATTTCCTGGCATGCAACATCTGTCCAAATATCTTGGGATGAGAACATGGGATAGGTATGGGGCACCTTGCAGCGAGACCACGGGTGGCTGCAGCAGAGATCCAAAGTGGTCATGGGACTCGAGGTGGAAGCGATGAGCCGCCTTAGGCATAACAACAGGGCAGAGCAGGCTCTTGGTGAGCTATTGCAAGCACAGCTGTCTGGGAGTAGTCACTAGAGATGAGGGGCCCACCACAGAGAACTGTGTCAGTAGCATTCATAGGCAATGGCACAGCTTTCAAGGCCAGGCCTGCTGAGCTAAGTGGCCCAAAGCTCCTGCATGGGTAAGTGCCTCAGTCTAAAGGCAGGGCACAGCTGCTGGAGGTTCTACTGGAATACCCCTTTCTGGAACTAGAACAAAGAGGGGTGAGAGTTGGCAGCAGAGCACTGAAGAAAAGTGGGCACTTTACTGGTCCTAATTCTATTCTTTTGATAAAAATCAGTAGTTTGGAAGGCTTGGTAGGTTAGGAGATGTGCTATGTACTTTGAAAGTCCCTCCCTAGCAGGCCACACAGCAGACTCACAGAATGACAAATGCCCTAAACAGCACTCTAGTCTCAGAGTCAGCCCTTTAAGGCATTTGGATCTGGCGAAAAAGCCCATGAGAACATTTCAGGCATGGAAAGCCAAGACACTGTGGCAAAAAATGATCTACATGAAAGATCTCTGTGAGTGAGATCTTGGTGGAAAGAAGGGGACATCAAAGAAGGAGGTACCTTTCTTTAAAGGGAGGAGAGAACTTCCACTTTGATTATGGCCCTGTCTAAATAATGTTGGAGTTTGTGGACTCAAGAGGCTTCCATAGCCTTGGCAGCTCATGACAAGAGCCTCCGGTGATCACTGATGTCATAAATAAGAGTGTCAGTTGTTAAATCAACAATAGCAGCCACTGTGCACTTGCTCCCCATGTGGGATCTCTGTCCTTAATAAGTTGTACTATGAGAATCAAGGGTAAAACTAGTCTTCAAACAGTACTTTATACTTTGTGTGTCTGTGTGGGTGCAAACTGTTGAAATCTTAGTATAGAGTAGGTCTTCTGTATATAAAGATAATTAAAAATGAACCTTAATGAAGAATGGGATGGGAGAGGGAGTAGGAGGTGGGATGGGAGTGCGGGTATGGGGGGAAAAACTACTATAATCCAAAAGCTGTAGCTATGAAATTTATATTTATTAAATAAAAGCTTTCTAAAAAAAATCCCTCCCTGCCCTAGGTAGAATCTAAAGATATTGTTAGTGGCATTTCATGCTAGGTGGGTTATTGAATAGGGCCTTAGTTAAAGATGCTAGAAGGCCTGGTCAAGTTTCAGTAACAGATTGCCCTGCCTGAAGATTGTTTTCCTGGAGCAAACAGAAAGGTGTCCCAAAGAGTTCCTCTCCCTTCCCCCAAACAGGGAGCTTAGTTAGAATTTCCTGATATACTAGCATCTGAAGGAGAGAGGGTTAGTATCGGAGTGGCCCGCGACCTTCCTTGATTGCCGCAGAGATTGTGACCATGCTAAAGGCCTGGTGGCAGTGAGAAGGGAGCTGGTGGGCTATTGGATTCTGGCTGAACCCTGCAGCATTAGAATTCCTGCCACACGGCGGCACTGTTGGAAAGCAAAAGTGGTAGGAAACATGGGTGGTCAAGGCTGCCCAGGAATCGGCTTCCAGGGTTCAGCATAGGAGCAAACAGAGAAAAAGAAATTCACTGAGGTTCTGAAACAGATGAGCGGTGTAAGGCAACAGGAGGTAGTTCTTACAGTTAAAGTGGAAGCGGAGCCCAGAGAGACTCCATTGAGGCATTGACACAAGGCCCCAGAAGTTGCCTATGGCCTCTTGTGTTTGGGGGTGGGCCCATGAAGGGCCTGGAGAGCTAATTCTTGTACACATGATGCAAGGTGCAGAGTGGAGGGGCGGCAGCTCTCCCCTCCCAGCTCTCATCCGCCAGATGAACTGGATCGGCCACTGGTGGGTGCCCGAGTCCTCCCCAGGAAGGGGAGCATCACTGTTTCACTCTGAGAGGATACGAGGGACCCTGGCAGCAAGGTCTGGCTCCAGGTCAAAGGGCTGGCAGGTTGGCTGGGGTTCCTGAAGTGGATAGGGACTCAGAGAGGATGTCATCTGGACAAACCACTCACACCCACAGGAGGGCGCTAAGACTTAACAGCGGGGACTGAATTCCCTCCAAATGGAAGAGCAGCAGCCAGGTGGGGCTGGGGCTGGGAGTTAAGCAGGCCAGACACAAGAAATCACTGTCCTGAATTTTTTAAGGACACAGTGAACACTGCACAAGCACAGAATGAGTGTATGAAAGTATAAGGTGAGCAAATACTCACTTAGTTCTTGCTGCTGTAACTGCTTCGCTTGCACAGCACCTTAAAGGAGGTTCTATCTCTAATACCTACAAATCTGGAGGCTCCTGTGATTAAGCTCAGAGCCATGAGGTTATAGTGGAACCACCACTCAAAATAGCAGTCCTGAACTTGACTCACGTCTCTCCTGGTCCACGTGAACTCACGTTAACTGTTACATGACTCTGTGTTCTCTCCTATTCTCTGGCATCCTGAAACTTCTGGGAGCATCTCATCTCCCTTAGCCAGATGACACCTCTCTCTCTCTCTCTCTCTCTCTTGCATCCATCCACCTGGCTCCCTGTTCCGGCACCCCTGAGTTACATGCGTCAGCTGCCACAGACTCTCAGAGCAGTGTGGTGGCTCCCCCTGGTCCCGCCTCCTTCCTTCCTCTTGTCTTGGAAGACTTTCTGGTTCTGAGTCTGTGGGCTAACATTTGCATCACAGAAAACCAAAAATCTTTCTGACGTGGTCTATCTGAAGTCTACAGTAGGACAGGGGCTGGGGGAGGAGAGGAATAGGATGTTCTTAGTTAATGATTAGTGTTTCTTAAATAATAAAGAAGAAACAAGCTTCCAATGCCTTCTTACCAATCTACTCACCCACTCGGCGGCGGGAGCATCTCCCCTGATGGTGGAACACACCCCTGGAGGAACATGTTTGTCTGCATTTGCAGATTTCCTCCTACACCTGGCCTACTCTGTGTGGCTGAAGAGCTCATCACTTTCTCTGGTCTGAGGGCCTCGCTGCTCTCCATTCCTGCTGAGTCTCCTCCTCCAGGGTCTGCATTACCAGACTTTACAGATAAGTGATCAGTTCTGTTCTGTTCTTTGGCTCTTTATTGAAGATATTAGTGTAGTGTTTTGTTTGTTTGTTTGTTTGTTTTTGCTTAACAGTCCTGGTCTAATTGTAGCCCTATTCACTTTTTCTAACATTTTTTTTTTTTAAGATTATCTATTTGAAAGGTAGAGTTACACACACACACACACACACACAGAGAGAGAGAGAGAGAGAGAGAGAGAGAGAGAGAAACTTTCATCTGCTAGTTCCCTCCCTAAATGGCCACCATGTCAGGAACCTGGAACTCCATCCTGATCTCCAAAGTGACTGGCAGGGTCCAAGCACTTGGACTGTCCTCCGCTGCTTTCCCAGGCACATTAGCAGGGAGCTGGATTGAAAATGGAGCAGCTGGGATTTGAACTTGTGCTTATATGGGATGCTGGCACTGCAGGCGGCACCTTAATCTGCTGTGCCACAACACTGGCCCCACACTTTTTCTTTTAGTGAATAATGCACATGTAGCCAATAAGTGGGAAATAGAGAACACTCGAATTCTCTACTGTATGGCATAGACAATGTCTCTGGGGAATGCATAGACTATAGACTGTATATCCTCTTTCAGAAGACATATAGTCATAACTATTTTCTCCTAAATATTATGATCCACATGCTGTAATCCTAAAAATCTCTTAATTACAACTGTATCTTATTGCTATTGGTGTAGATTCAGACTATAGTTAGGTGGAAACTTACCTCTGATACAGTCACCAATGAGCTGTAAATTGATTTCCAAATCACTAGCAGTTGGATCAAAGGCACAAATGTTCCTGACTAAATATCTGTTAACATACTGTGAACAAAGAAAAGGTATGGGATTGTCAGCAAGTAGAAATTATATAAATAAATAACGTTTATATAAAATTCAGAACAGGCAAAAACCAACCTTGTTAGAAATCAAGATCACGTCTTGGGGTGTGTGGGTAGGGAGCATGGCGGGGGGGGGGGAGGGGTCATGGGAAAGAGTATAAAGGAGGGCCTTGGGATGCTGCTAATGTTCTGTTTCTTGCCTAGGGGCTGCTTATATGGATGTGTTTACTGTGTGAAAACTCTTGCATCTGTACTTTTACGATTTGTTAAATTATGATTTGTATATAGGTTATTCTTCAGTTAAAAGAATGCTTTATAGGTGTGTGTTTGGCACAGTAGTGAAGAACCCACTTGGGACACTGACATCTCATACTAGAGTACCTGGGTTCAAGTCCTGACTCTGCTTCCAATTCCAGCTTCCTGCTTATGTGAGCCCCGGGAGGCAGCAGGTGATGGGTCAAGTAGTTGGATTGCCCATCTACGTGGGAGATCTAGATTGAATTCTAAGCTCCTTGCTTCAGCCTGGCTGAGCCCTAGATATTGTGGACATTTGGTTAAGTGAAGCAGCAGATGGAAGATCTCTGTCTCTCCGCCTTTCAGATAAAAGGAAAATAAATCAATAAATATTGCAAAAAGAGTATTTAAAAAAAAAGACTTACAAGCTTACACTTATCCCAGTTTTGAAAGTCACTTGAAAATTCCAACTCTGGATGGAAGAACAAGATAACCCCTTTTAGGATATCTTGCACTAGGTTTATGTTGGCTGCCAGTTCCCGGGTCTTGCTGTCTGGAAGGGGTTCTGTCTGTACTATAGTACTATGGTCATAGAGCAACAGAGACACAAAGCTCATGGAATCAAGTAGTTGCAGGCACTCCTGCAGCTCCTGAAGCATGATCCGGAAGAAGATGATTCCTGCCCGCTGGACTTCTCCCACGTCTTCAATCTCTAGAATGACAGAAAGACATCCCATGTTGGTGTTTTTTCTACAGTAGAAAGAAGACTATATCTTATGGTTTTAAACAATCTTAGTTTTTCCAGCTATGAGGGCAAAAGAGAGAAATAGAATTACATCTGGTATGTTTCACAGGAAGAGGCTTCGAGAAAAGGCAAAAACTTGAGTTTTAGAATGAGACTTTAGTGTGAGTACAAATCCTCCCCCCTTATTAGTTTCCTTTATCTCTGAATATTTTTTAAAAAGATTTATTTATTTATTTGAAAGACAGAGAGAGAAAGAGAGAGAGAGAGAGAGAGAGGTCTTCCATCTGCTGGTTCACTCCCCAATTGGTGGCAAGGGCTGGAGCTGTGCTGATCCAAAACCAGGAGCCAGGAGCTTCTTCTGGGTCTCCCACGTGGGTGCAGAGGCCCAGGGACTTGTACTGCTTTCCCAGGCCATAGCAGAGAGCTGGATCGGAAGAGAAGCAGCCAGTTCTCGAACCAGCGCACATATGGGATGTCAGCACTGCAGGTGGCAGCTTTACCCGCTTCGCCACAGCACTGGCCCATGTATCTCTGAATATTGTTTTCCTCTCTTGTGAGAGGGGGGTTAACTTCCACTTCCCTGGTGACCTATGGAAACTGAATGAGATGATGTATGCAGCCAGCGCTACAGTGCAGAGGATTAAGCCGTTGTCTGGTGCGGACATCCCATTTGGGTGCTGGTTCAAGTCCTGGTTGCTCCACTTCCAATAAGGCTCCCTGCTAACGTGCCTGGGAAAGCAGCAGAAGATGGCCCAAGTGCTTGGGCCCTGCACCTACGTGGGAGACCTCGAGGAAGTGCCTCTGCACCCACGTGGGAGACCTGGAGGAAGCTCCTGGCTCCTGTCTTCAGGCTGGCCCAGCCCTGGCCTTTGCAGCCATTTGGGTTTGTGAACCAGCAGATGGGGGAATCTCTTTCTCTCTCTCTCTCCCCCTCTCTCTCTCACCCTGACTTTGAAATAAATAAACAAATCTTTAAAAAAATTAAAAAATAAAAATGTTGTATGGGGGTGCAGTCAAATTCTGTAATGTATTTGACTGCCCTGATACTAACAAAAAAGTGCTAATCTTAGGCCTTTTCACAGAAAACAGGCAAAAGGCATGAATTTGCTTCTTTCTTCTTATCCCACTATACGTGATGGCTCCAATCTTTCTGCTTAATCCCACGTCGTGTACTCTATCCTAGGTAGTCATAAGTTTTCATGCCTTCTTCTTCCTTCCTTCTGTTTAAGCTGCTCTTGTGCTAAGAGTAGTCTAGTGGATACAGAATCATAAGAACTAGGGTCTAGTCTTTGCCACCAGTTTGCTAGTGGACCTTGGATAACCCATGTTACTGTCATAAGTTCTGGCTTCTTTATCTGTAAAATGAGATATTCTGAGGAGCTAATGCTGTATAATATAGTGAAAAGAGCCCCTGGACCTGGATTCAAATCCAGTCTTCATCATTTGTTAGCTGTGTGATTTGGGACTAGTTGTTTACTTTCTCCAAACTTCATTTTCTTCACCTGTATTATGGGAAACCAGCCTTCACCTTATAGGACTAAACGAAGTAACATATTTAAAGTGCTTGACACATGGTAGAGTATTTAATAAATGCTAGTTCTATCGTGTTCTGATGAGTTCTAATTAAGAAAATATGACTCTCTGCCCGTGCTTTCATTTGCAGACCATATTCAGTAGCCCAAGGCTGCACAGGGAATTCCTTTCACACGGAAAGATATGTACATTGTAACAATTAGTTTAGAAAATGTATCCTTCATCTCACCGTCTGTGATTTCCCCCAAATCTATTAAACCCATGGGTCCACACTCACAATACCTAAGACACATTTTCTTTTTCTCTCTCCAGATAATTCGTCCAGTGTTTCATAGCAGGCAGCTTGGATCACCTTCATCATTTTCTGTAGATCTTTGTACTCCTGATATAATAACATCCTAGTCCGGCCAATGTTAAAATCGAGGACTCCCAGAGCCTCTCCCGTTCTCTCACGGAGTGGAACTACTATGTGGGTTTCTCCACAGACAGAGGCCAAAACAACTTGTGAACTGTCTGTGCACTTAAAGAGGAAATCTCTGAAATTCCAAGCACATGGTACAGGGATATTAAACATCCGCCTGTTCACACATTCCATCTAAATGTATTGACTCACTCTCTCATATCTACCTCGCTTCCCCCAGCATTGTTGCCATTTCGTCTGCGTGGAAAACTCCATCCCTGATTTCCCAGGGCTGAGGATGTTTCTCTCCTCACATCCCCTCAGCACTGAAGCCTTCCCTGGTCACCCGATCTAAGTAGAAAGTGTCCATGCCCCTCTCCATCCTGACGTTCCACCCCACTAGCTTTACTATACAGGAACTAGGATTCATCTGAAGGTATTTTTTAAAGAGGTAGAGAGAAGCGAGAGAGTGAGAGCAAGAGAGAGAGCAAGCGAGCACTTCCATTTGCCTGTTCACTCCCTAAATGCCCACAATGCCCAGGGCGGGGACAGGCTGAAGCCAGGAGTTGGGAACTCATTCCAGGTCTCCCACATGGGTGGCAGGAACCCAATCATTTGAGTGATTGCTTTTTGCCTCTCAGGATCTGTAGCAGGAAGCTGGAATCAGAAGCTGGAGCTGGGACTTGAACCTAGGTAGTTTGAAATGAAATGTAGGCATCTTAACTGCCTGTTCAGAAAGTGTTCATTCTTTTGCTTACTTCTTGTCCAGGATGTGCTGGTCGGGTGTTGGAAGGGGTGATGAGTGTCTTAGGGCAGATTTCCCAGAAGCAGGGCCTAACGCCAGGATACTCATGCAGGTGATTTATTGAGGGTGTGCTCTCTGGTGAAACCTATGAGGGACTGAGGGAAGCAGGATAGGGAAGGGGAGAAGCTAAGTAGAAGGTAATTCAGGTGAAGTCTAGCCTCAGCCGGATCACAGAAGAGAGAGGTAAATTGTTCCTCCCACTCTGAAGCAAGGGAGGTGTCGTTTGTATCCTAGCACCGGTCAGTCATTGTCTCTAAAAAGCTCTGGGTGTGTTGGGTGGTTTGGGGTGGAGGAGTGTTTATGTAACACTTGGGTACCTCCTGGTGAGGGGCTCCAATCATTTAAGGGAACTTCTCCAGAGAACAGTTTCAGCGTAAGGAGTGTTACCTGTAGCATCCTGCAAAAAGCATAGTGGGGATCTGGGCAGGGCGTCTGTAGCATCTGCTTCAGTGACAGAAATGAGCTTTCCATGGAAATGCAGTGGAGTGGCTGCTTCGTTCCCTAACAAGGCACAGACACATCTCTTTCCCTCTTCTCCCATCTACACTGATATTGACTTGCCATTCTTTTCAAGTATCTGTAAAATGCTGGCATTTTACATAGCCTCAAAAAGCACATTTTCAGTTCACAACATCAATCCTGGGATGCCAGGTAAGATTTTGCCTCCTTCTGCTGTTCCCACCCCTTGCAGCTGTGCAGCCATCACACTGTGTGTTTAGGACAACTATAGGAGCGACACATCATACTAAACTTCCTGAACATCATGGTAAAGCCCATTGGCCAACAGAGCTACTCCACAGGCACCTGCTTAAGTTACATGCAGGGTTACAAGGACTCCCATAAAACTGACCAGCACAAGGAATACATGGGTATAAAAGAGCTTGAGACTGAATGAACATTCTAGTATGAGGCCAAACTAAAATTGAATTAACATGTGGATTTAAATGTCAGATTGGTCTACTAGTCTGAAATAGGCGTACTATCTAATGACCTATTCTGACCCCTTAAGAAGCAGTTGGCCCCTTTTGCAACAGGTGTGTTCTCAGTTAAGATCAGGTTTGCATCAGCCCACACTTTAGGAGTGGTGCTTGCATTCCACAGGTGAGAGTCATTCAAGGTAATTTGCAACATCCTCTGTCTCCTCAACTTTTCCACTGCCTATCTTCTATTTTATTTATTTATTTATTTATTTATTTATTTATTTATTTATTTATTTATTTATTTTTACAGGCAGAGTGGACAGTGAGAGAGAGAGACAGAGAGAAAGGTCTTCCTTTGCCGTTGGTTCACCCTCCAATGGCCGCCGCGGCCGGAGCACTGCGCTGATCTGAAGCCAGGAGCCAGGTTCTTCTCCTGGTCTCCTATGCAGGTGCAGGGCTCAAGTACTTGGGCCATCCTCCACTGCACTCCCTGGCCACAGCAGGGAGCTGGTCTGGAAGAGGGGCAACCTGGACAGAATCCGGCGCCCCGACCAGGACTAGAACCCGGTGTGCCGGTGCCGCTAGGCGGAGGATTGGCTTATTGAGCTGTGGCGCCGGCCTGCCTATCTTCTTCAAATAAAAAAAAAAATATACATCCACAGGCTAACATTATCAGATCAGCTCAGATAAATGATATGGATCTATTATAATCATTGTGAGTTTTTGTTGAATTCCACGTTTAGAAGGCAATTATAGAAAATAAAAGCTATTATGCTTTAAAACATGCTATTTTAATATAAAATACCAGTGAAAACTATTTCAAAAGGACTTGGAAGAAAAAGTTTATTCACACATCCTAGAAAGACATTCTATAGGAATTTTTTTAAAGTCAATTTTTAAAAAAAGATTTATTTTATTTATTTGAAAGGCAGAATTAGAGAGAGAGAGAGAGAGAGAGAGAGAGAGAGAGAGATTCACAGAGATAGCTTCTACCTGCTGGTTCACTCCCCAGATGGCTGTAACGGCTGAGGCTGGGCCAGGCTGAAGACAGGACTTCTTCTGGGTCTCCCAGAAGGGTGCAGGGGCCCAAGCAATTGAGCCATCCTCTACTGATTTCCCAGGCACATTAGCAGGGATCTGGATGGGAAGTGGGGCAGCTGGGACTTGAACCAGTGCCTATATACAATGCTGGTGTCACAGGCGGTGGCTTATTCCATTATGCCACACCGCTGGCCCCAGAATTTTTCTTTCAAAGCCAATCAGAATAAAAGTCCAAGTGTACTAATAAGAGGCAGAAGCTGTGAATTCCAGATCTACTATCACACCAGGAGGATGTATTCTGGCCAAAAACAAAACAAAACAAAACAAAACAAAACAAAAACAAAAAACAAAACCAGACATGTCTCACACCTGAAGATGCATGACTTCCTGGAGATGGTAGGGGAATTTGTGTGGATTTCCGTTAGACCCAGCTGCCTTGTAACCATCATACTGCGTAAAACATAGTCTGAATCCTTGAAAAGAGGAAGAGATTTCATTAGTGGGGAGTAATTAGATCTCCTACTCTCATTCAAACTTTTGGAGACAGAAAAATATTTAAAAATTTAAAACTTTAGATGACCCCTAACTTCTTAAAAATTGTTTTTAGTATATTTGAAAGGGGTGGGAGTTTGTGGGAGAAAGAGTGATTTGCCATCCACCGGTTTTACTCCCCAGTTGCCTATAACAGCCAGGACTAGACCAGTTGAAGCCAAGAAACAGAGGTAGGAATTCCATCTGACTCTCCGGCAGGGACCCAAGAACTTGAGCCATCGTCTGCTGCCTCCCAGGTTGCATATAAATGGAAGCTGGTATCAGAAGCAGATCCCAAATCAAACCCAGGAGCTCCCATATAGGATGCAGGTGTCCCAAACAGCAGCTTAACCCACTGTGCTACAATGCCCACCCCTATCTTCCTCAATTCTAAGAGATTTTCAAACTGTAGGTCCTAGCCTACAAGTGGGTTGTCTAAATATTTTAATGAGCTTTGATCAGCATTTAGTTTTTGGTGGACAGACTAGTTTATTTATAAGAAAGCAATACTAGCATATTCTGTAAAATACACTAAACTGTAGGAGAGAGTCAATTAGGAGAAGTATTTTTATATCCCCTCCTTTAAAATAATTCTTAGAGTAAAAGGGAAACTGTGACAAGTGGATCCACAGTGACTGCATGCTGAATGCTGTCCAAAAGATAAAACTTTCTCTTGTATCCCTACTCCATATTCCCTCCCTCCCTCCCTCCCTCCCTTCCTCCCTCCCTCCCTCCCTTCCCTCCTTCCTTCCCTCCTTCCCTCCTTCCTTCCTTCCTATTTACTTATTTGAAAAAGCTGAGTTACAAAAAGGGAGGGAGGAGGAGAGAGCGAGCGCTTCCATCTGCTGGTTCACTCCCCAAATGGCTGCAACCTCTGGGACTGGGCCAGGCTGAAGCCAGGAACCTGGACCTCCACCCAGGTCTCCCACTAGGGTGGCAGGGGCCCAAGTACTTGGGCCATCCTCTGCTGCTTTCCCAGGTGCATTAACAGGGAACTGGATTGGAAGTGAGCCAAGGCTCCAACTGGTGCTGGTATTGTAGGCAGTGGCTTAACCGGCTGTGCCACGATGTCTGCCCCTCTATCCATTCTCATCATACGGAGAATCACAACATAAAAGTCAAGTGTAAAGAACCGAAGCAAATATTCAGCTAGAATTCATCACACTGTAGATAGGGGCCTTTTCTTCTAACAAGCTGGTGTGATGTAATTGTGTTCTTCCAAAGCAGCAGTCCCTCATCCCTTCCCGCATTGCCCCCATGATTCTGGCGGCTGTGGCCACTTCCTGTGAACTCCCTACCCTCAACAGGAGGACATATCTCAGGATGAGTCAAACAGAATTTTCTTTCCTAGGTTTTCCAAACCGGGACTTTTCACTGGATGCTTTTACTCCATGTTTGACCTGTCCATGGAGAAAGCCCATCTTTAGCTAGAAGGACAAAGCCAACATGCAGAAGGAAGGAAACCATGAGAAGTGGGAAGATAAAGAGCATGGGGGAGTCCTGAGGGTGTCCCATCCCAGCATCTGGTCATCCTGGAAGCCAGCCTGACTCCTGCCCCTTCTTCATTTGGGTCACATGTCAGTCAATATTCCCTTTTGCCTAAGACAGTTTGAAATGGATTCCTGTCACTCACAACCAAGGGTTTGAGTTAAGGTCATGGGAAATGTATCCCCAGTTAGCCTGATAGTTAACTAATATGGCTTAAATACATTAGCAGGACAGTAGCATGTATAAACACTGTTATGTTAAAGACGTCTAACACTGCCGAGCCCTGCCTACCTGGTTTGGGCTAGGCTCCACAAAGAGCGTGGTGATGGAGGTGATTCCGGACGTGATGCTGTAGAGCCAGCCGATGCCAGTGATCACTATATGCAGGATGTGCTCCCGGCTGTGGATGTAGTGATAGGCAGCGCTAAAGACATTGGCAACACCCTGGGGAAATGGAAAAGTCAAGTTTCCTTTATTTTTTAAGATAGCAAAAATAATTAGTAATATATTAATTGTATTATCTTTTTAATTAGTATAATCAAATTCCTACAGATTACACATCAGTTTTTATTTTTAAAGATTTTATCTATTTATTTGGAAGGCTGAGTTACAGAGAGGCAAAGACAGAGGCACATGCAGAGAGAGGTCTTCCATCTGCTGGTTCTCTCCCCAAATGGCTGCAACAGCCACAGCTGGGCTAATCCAAAGTCAGGAACCAGGAGCTTCCTCCAGAAGGTCTCCCACGTGAGTGCAGGGACCCAAGGGCTTGGGCCATCTTCTACTGCTTTCCCAGGCCATAGCAGAGAGCTGGATCGGAAGTGGAGCAGCCGGGACTCAAATTAGTGCTTATAATGGGATGCTGGGGCCGCAGGTGGCGGTTTTACCCACTACACCACAGTGCCAGACCCAGAAGATCTCTCTCTCTCTCTCTCTCTCTCTCTCTCTGTAATTCTGCCTTTCAAATAAATAAAATAAATCTTTTTTTAAATCAAAGGTACCAAGAGAGATCTACATACCTTTTTATGTTTTCTGAAAATTATCCAGTGAAATTTGTGATATGTGCTGTCAGAGAACAACATCATAAGAACAAGATACACTTTGAAATGAGGAAAAAAAGTTTAAAAACAAAGAACTAGTGCCAGCTTTGGGCACCTGGTTAGGAGCTGCCCTGAACTGATGCTGATATTAATGCCTGCATCCATACACGGCTCCCTTGATCAGATCACCAGTGTGGGACAACTTGGTTGCAAGGCCTGCAGCATGCTGGACTACACAACACTCCCATAGGCATGGTGAGACCCTGTTCCACAGCAAAGAGATGGGAAGTCCCTAAGAATCCATCTGTGATCTGTTGTCAAGAAACTCTAGGAGCCTCAGTTTCTTCAGAACTGTATGTATGCATTTTATTTCAGGATTCAAAATATCCAAGGATAACTCAGACATTTATCTCCAATGGATAATCAATATACAATTCATTTTGACATGCTCTCCAGCAAGACTACATATAGTTCACCTGATTAACTCCATATTCCTCCATCTTTCTTCCTCTTCCTCTTCTTCTTCTTCTTCTTCTTCTTGACAGGCAGAGTGGACAGTGTGAGAGAGAGACAGAGAGAAAGGTCTTCCTTTTGCCGTTGGTTTACCCTCCAATGGCTGCTGCAGCCAGCACGCTGCGGCTGGCGCACCACGCTGATCCGAAGGCAAGAGCCAGGTGCTTCTCCTGGTCTCCCATGGGGTGCAGGGCCCAAGCACTTGGGCCATCCTCCACTGCACTCCCGGGCCACAGCAGAGAGCTGGCCTGGAAGAGGGGCAACTGGGACAGAATCCGGCGCCCCGACCGGGACTAGAACCCGGTGTGCCAGCGCTGCAGGCAGAGGATTAGCCTAGTGAGCCGCAGTGCTGGCCATGTTTCTTCTTAATATCTTCACATCATTATTATTTCAGATGCAAATGAATCATCATTAAAAATATTTATTTTTATTTGAAAGATGGCGCAACAGAGAGAGAGAGAGAGGAGAGGGAGAGGGAGAGGAAGAGGGAGAGGGAGAAGGAGAGGGAGAGAGAGATCTTCAATCTGCTGGTTCACTCCCCAAATATCCATAATAACCAAGGCTGGAGCTGGGGCAGATCAAGGCCAGGAGCTAGGAATTCCACTGGACCCCACATACTTGAGCCATTATCTGCTGCCTCCCAGAGTGTGCTAATGCAGGAGCTAGATTGGGAGTAGAGGTGGGACTTCATCCCATACACTCTGATATGGCATGTAGGCTTTCCAAAGTGGCAGTTTAATCACAACACCTGCCCCATTGGTGAATATTATTAAAAATATGTGCAGAGAAAGAGATGATGCTACTTTCTGCAGCTACCCATCCAGTAAGTGGAAAGAAAAAATGAAAAATAATGATTAAAAAATCAGTAACAGGGGCTGGCACTGTGGCATAGCAGGTAAAAGCTACTGCCTGCAGTGCCAGCATCCCATATGGTCGCTGGTTTGAGTTCCAGCTGCTCCTCTTCCGATCCAGCTCTCTGATGTGGCCTGAGAGAGAAATAGAAGATGGCCCAAGTCCTGGGCACCTGCACCCATGTGGGCGATCCAGAAGAAGCTCCTGGCTCCTGGCTTCGGATCGGCACAGCTCCGGCCATTGTGGCCAATTGGGGGAGTGAACCAGCAGGTGGAAGACCGACATCTCTCTGCCTCTCTGCCTCTCCTCTCTCTGTGTAACTCTTTCAAATAAATAAATCTTTTTAAAAAATCAATGACATAAAGGACCAGAGGCTTATAGGAGCATAAATAAGGAGTAGTAAAGTCCTGACTTGCTGTCTGCCACAGTCTATTTAAAGGCTTTCATTCTTCATTCATTGTAATTTTTATCTATAAGATTAAATGAAAATGCTTGTAGAAACAGCATAGCCATTTAATAGTCTTAAAAGATACTGTATTTTTTGTGATCTAATTTGAAAACATGAACATTGATGAAATACTTGGGCTTTTTTCTTTATTCTTCAGCCTCAAAAATTGTACAGCTGTGGGGATGCGTATCATATTTAGCACCATTTGAGAAAAGAACTAAGGATTTCTGGGTACCACTGTTGATAAAACACAAATATGTCCCTTTTAAAAAATGTATTCCTACTTTGTAGATCTTAGTGGTCTAATCATCGGATTTCTGTTCTACAACATGAAATTCTATTCTTATGATTAATGCTAGGGGACACACATTAAAATCTCCCCAGAGAGGCATGGATATACTACTGAGGTGGTCAGTTTCTTCATAAGAAACGGGGAACCTCTCCAAAAACTGACATGGATAGAGGGAACAGGAGCAAGGATGATGCCATTGTCTGTATACAGGGCTTTACATTCCTCTGGTTTTCAGGTTTCACATTTCACAAAGTGAAGGAGAGGCTACCCTGCCATGGCTTGTACAGACTTCTGTGACTTACCTGATAGAATCTGATCTCATGAGGCAGGAAGATGTTTATTTCATGGGGATCTCTAAGTGTGTCAACAGCCAAGACCCCAAAGATCCTCATATATGCATCCTGAAGAGGCAAAGCCAGGAATGATCCACTATAATCCTCCTTATTGCGGGAATGGTTCCAGAAGAAGATGTTCCCGTGGTACTGAACTTGAGGGACGTGGATTGGCTTCCCTTCATCCACTACTGTAAAGCTGAGGAGAAGGACTATGAGACTGTGAGAGAAGCACAGTGGGACGCTTTAGATTAAACCATAAGGGAACTAGATCAATTCTTCATCCACAGTCACAGACATTATATGTCACAAAAGTGGGTGCAGATAAGACTACCAGTTCAGGGAATCTGACTTGAGAGAAACATTTAAAAAACAAGCCAAGCTATTAACAGAGAAACCATATATAAACAGGACTCAGGAGACAGAACTTCTAGAGCAGGCAGAATAATGAGCTGCTATTGTGAAGCAGTCTTTACACGGCTAGAGTGAGCTCCAGAAACGATGAAGCAAAATCATCCAGGAGTTGAAGACCAACACCTCCCACTCTTAAAAAGCCTTAGTGACTTGAGGCATTCCTCTCCCGAGTAGCTGGCTAGACTTTTGATGCTACCAGAAAGGAAGTTTGTTGTTTGTTTTTTAGAATGAAACCAACCTCTCCAAGAATTAATTACCTGATTCCCTTCATGTCCCGGTAGAGCACTTTGTTCAGAACAAATGGAGCATCATCTAAGGTGCAAGCCACGTTTCTCAGTGTAACACTCCCTCTGTGTGGCAGAAGTACATTTTCTTCTAAGAGGGAGATGTGTGCACTGATCTTCTTATTTCCATGGGCTTCAGCGTCCTATGGTAAAATGTTTCTGATCATCTATTTGCCAAACAGCCAACACACTTCCCCAATCTTGTTTTGTCTCATGAGATACTTTCCCCTCACCTGGCCCCTTTAGTTTCATTTTCCTGAATAAATGATGCAATTTTTAGCATTCATGGGCAATGGTGAAAAGGCTGACACCAAAGCTATCCCCCAAACCTAAGTTTTACTGAGTGGAATAGATTTCCTCTGTGCCAATGGGAAACAACAGCAAATTTTCAAGTCTATTCAAATTTAGAGGTTTAAAGCTTGGATCTTTTTGAACTCTAAGACATATTGTCTGGGCTTCAATTAAAAGTATCCTTTTAAGGGGCAGGCATTGTGGAGCAGTGTGTTAAACTGCCACTTGGGATGCCTGCATATCAAATTGAAGCATCTGGGAACAAGTCTTACCTCTGCTTCCGATATAGCTTCCTGCTAGTATGCACTCACTCTGAGGGGCAACAAATGATGGTTCAAATACTTGGGTTCCTGCACCCATGTGGAGATCTGGATAGAGTTCCAGGTTCCTGGCTTCAGCCTGGCCCAGGCCTAGCTTTTGGAGGCATTTGATGAATTTGCCAGCAAATTGAAGATCTCTCTCTCTCTCTCCCTCCCTCTCCCTCCTTATCTCTCTATCTCTCTATCTCATTCTGCCTTTCAAATAAATACAAAGAAACTAAATTAAAAAGTATTATTTGAGAGAGTTGGGGCAAGAAGATGCCTTCCTTTCACATATATCTCTTGATCAACTATGATGATGTAAATGTGGGGAAAATGCTTTTAAGAAATTCTTTCTGTTTAAAATATTTATGTATTTTAAAGGCAGGGAGAGAGAGAAAGAGAGAGAGAGAATCTTCTAACCACTGGTTCACTCCCTAAATGGCCACAACATCTGGGGCCCGGCCAGGCAGAAGCCAGAAGTCAGGAATTCCGTTTGAGTCAGAAGTACAGTAACTGGGGCTCAAACCAGCACTCCAATAGAAGATGCAAGCATCCCAAGAAGAGGCTTACCCCACTGTGCCACACATCTGTCTCATGAGTTCTTAACATAGTTTGGCTATTTGATCTGCATCATTTCAGGAAAGGATTTCTTGGAGCCAATAATGCAGACTTTCTACAACTGCTATTTCTACTTAAAATAACTGAAAATTCCATGTACCTAAAATTTTTAAATGTCATTAACAATATTATAAGGGGACTTAAAATGTCTGTGGATAAATGGAATTAGAAGATAGAAATAGGGGCCAGCGCCATGACGTAGTAGGTTAATCCTCCGCCTGCGGCACTGGCACCCAATATGGACGCCGGTTCTAGTCCTGGCTGCTCCTCTTCCAATCCAGCTTTCTGCTATGGCCTGGGAAAGCAGTAGAAGATGGCCCAAGTGCTTGGGCCCCTGCATCTGCATGGGAGACTGGGAAGAAGCTCCGGGCTCCTGGCTTTGGATCGGCGCAGCTCTGGCCGTTGCGGCCATTTGGGGAGTGAACCAACGGAAGGAAGACCTCTCTCTCTCTCTCTCTTCCTCTCACTGTCTGTAACTTTACCTCTCAAATAAATAAACAAAATATTTGAAAAACAGATAGAAATAAAAAAGATATTTATTTCTCAATATAAGCTCCAACAAGTTCAAGACATTTTGTAAGTGATGATACCAGTTGGTTTATCCCTAACTAACTGAGGGTCCTGGGAATTTAGCCATGTAAATGCAGTCCTTTTTACATCACCACTGTAAAGTGGGTGCCCTTTACAGACATTTTTAAGATTAGGAAACAAAAATAAATCAGAAGGAGCCAAATCAGGACTACATAGGTGGATGCCCAATGATTTCTTATTGAAACTCAAAAAACCTGCCTTTGCTTGGTGAGAGGAACGAGCAGGAGCACTGCTGTGGAGCACTCTTTAATGAAGATTTCTGGGGAATTCTCCTGCTAAAGCCTTGGCTAACTGTCTCAAACACTCTCCAGGCAAACAGATGCTATTGTTCCTTTGCCACCCATTGAGCAGAAAGCTTACTCCATTTTAATTTTTTGGTCAGAATTGTGTAAGCTGAACCAGGTGAGATGTCTATGGAGTTGGCTATTATATGTGATGTTAATTGTTGGTGCTCTTCAGTTAGGACATGGACATGGTCATTTTTTTCCTCACAAATCAATGGGGATGGCCTGTTGCTATAGGCTTCATCCTCAGCATCATCTCTCCTCTCTTCTTAAGACGACGTATCCATTTGCAAATTCCCAATTTCTCTGGGGAATTGTCCCCATCAACTTTTTGCAAGTCAGCAAAGATTTCACCATCCTCCGATCCAAGCTTCACTGTAAACTGGATGTTTGTTTTTGCTTCAGTTTTAACAGAATTCAAATTGCTCTGAAGGAGACTCTTTCCAAACAGATGTGTCAGCCTTCTTAGTGCCTCACACTAAATCCTGTTTAGCTATGTTAAACAACCAGCCTCAGTGTATTTTGGTATGAAAAGAACTTGAAATCCATGCATAGTTTTTTTCATAATATGAATTTTCCATGAACTTTTTGAAGACCCTCATCTATGTTAGCACATGTTGACTAGATGTATAAACTTGGAATGAGAGACACTTTCTTTGATATTTCTTTCCTCTTTGTATGTATTTGGATTTGCTTCTCATGACTTTATTTTTCTTCTGCCTTTATTCCTCCTTCCTATGAACAAGATCTATGGAGTAGGGAACAAATGTGTAGTAAGATTTCTCTTCGGGTACCATGGATCTCTGAAGCACGTTGAGGTGACATCTCTTTTTCTTCATAGTATCCTGTTTCTTTTTTTTTCGACAGGCAGAGTGGACAGTGAGAGAGAGAGACAGAGAGAAAGGTCTTCCTTTGCCGTTGGTTCACCCTCCAATGGCCACCGCACTGCGCTGATCCCAAGGCAGGAGCCAGGTGCTTCTCCTGGTCTCCCATGGGGTGCAGGGCCCAAGCACTCGGGCCATCCTCCACTGCACTCCCGGGCCACAGCAGAGAGCTGGCCTGGAAGGGGGCAACTGGGACAGAATCCGGCACCCCCCCCTCCCCGGGACTAGAACCCGGTGTGCCGGCGCTGCAAGGTGGAGGATTAGCCTAGTGAGCCGCAGCGCCGGCCCATAGTATCCTGTTTCTAATTGCACCATTTCTATATACACTAGAAAACTGGGTCATTCAGAAGGTAATCCTAATGAGCAAGAGTTGTTGTTTAGTTGAAGTGACTGGCACGGGTTCCTGGATAAGTGGAGTTTGTGATATTTGTAGAAGACAACTGTGCTGTCTCTGCCTCAGAGGAATAACAATCTGGGATTCTCTGAGAAGGTGGAAGATCGTGGGTAGTAGCCCCTCAGTGCCATGTGTCCTATGTAACAGGATTCTGCAATAGTCTCAGCTTCCTTCTAGGCAGTGTTGTAAAAATGTTGTGTGATACTGGATTCTACTTTATAACGAATTTACGATTTAAGTAGCCCATTTTAAAACTGACTCCCAAAACATCATTCAAGAGAAATGTGGCTTGAACTTCTTGCATATTTCCCCGACATTTTTATTATTAATATATTGTCTATTCTAGGCTTATTTGACTCTTAGCACAAATGAAATTAGGAATCCCAATACATCTTTTCTACTTTTTCTCTCTACTTCTATCTTGCCAACCAACATTCATTCTAGTTGTCTCTCTCCCAGGATCTGGGTCATTTGTAATGTATTGGAATGAATAAAACATCTATTGGGCTGGTGCCACGGCTTACTAGGGTAATCCTCTGCCTACGGCACTGGCACCCCTGGTTCTAGTCCCAGTTGGGGCGCCGGATTCTGTCCCAGTTGCTCCTCTTCCAGTCTAGCTCTCTTCTGTGGCCTGGGAAGGCAGTGGAGGATGGCCCAAGTGCTTGGGCCCTGCACCTGATGGGAGACCAGGAGGAAGCACCTGGCTCCTGGCTTCGGATTGTGGGGAGCAATTCGGACTAGACTGAGTTACTGGAATTAAGACTTATTCTATGCATCTGCTCTCCCACAATATGGCGCTGGGAGAGAAGAAAACAGCTTCTACCCAGCTGCCTCCAGTTCAGCCAATGAACTGTAGGACTTGCTCCTGGTTGGAGGAGAGCAGCGTACTCGGCGTGTGGGCAGCCGAGTTGGGATTGGCGGAGGAGGACTATAAAGGAGGAGAGAGACGGCATGCACCGAGGAACATCTAAGGGGAACATCTAGCTGAAGGAACACCTGTGCAGCCCCCGAGAGAGCCGGCCGGCGGTGTGCCACTCCCCTGCGGAAGTGGGGAATGTGGCCAGGGGGAACTGCCCTTCCACGGAGGTGGAAGGGATAGTAGCCAACCCGGGAAGAACCAGCAGCAAACCGGGGAGGGCCGAGCAGATGAAAGAACAGCGCAGGGTCCTGTGTCGTTCCTCCATGAAGAGGGGGAGCGACATAATGGTGCCGTGACTCGGATAGGAAACTTAGGAGGGAAGAAACGGGAAGAAGCAGGAAAATACCGGAGAGAGAGACTAGCGAAGAGCCTAGGGGAAAGCCGGACGAGAAAGGTGCCGGAAGAAGCTATTGAAAGCCTAGGCATAGACTTGGATATGGACTGTGGGAAAGAAGTTAGGATTTGAAAGCGAAAGTGAAAGCTTTCATAGACTCGGATGCGGACTATGGCGGGGAAGCTAGGAGACTGAAAGCGAAAGTGAAACCTGGAGGAGGCTTGGACTCGGATACGGACTGTGGGGAGTAGCCAGGAGAAATGAGAGGAATATTGTTGGAAGAAAACTTAAGGAAACGTACCCGGTAGAGAAAAATGTTAGGGAGGATGAAGCCGCGAGTGCAGGCCAAGGCGGAGACATAAGCCACCTTGGAATTCTTCAAGTCACCCCTGGGAGCAAGAGGCGAAGATCTGGAACCAGAGGCAGAGACATGGGCCGCCAGGTTGGAATTCGCCAGGTTAGTCCGGGGAACTTGGACTGAATGCCGGTGGTGGCAGAAACATTCGCGGAAGCCGCCGCGTGCAGAGAGAGCACGGGGCGTGAATAGATAGGGAATGCGGGGCTGGCGCGAGGCCGTGGCGCGAAGTGCGTGGAGACCGCGGAGTGTGCGCGCGAAGCCGAGCCGCGCAGATGAGAGAAGCGCGGGCTGAAGCGGCGCAAAGCCGGGAAGCCGCCGCGGGGCGGCGAGGCGCAGAGAAGCAGCCTCGGGGCGGGCGCCGGCGGGGCGAGGCGCCGGGAAGCCGCGCAGAGCCGTGAAGCTGCCGCTGGGCAAGGTGCCGAGAAGCAGCAGGGAAACCGCGGGGATAAGAGAAACAGAAGTTTTAGAAGTAAAATGAGAGAAATAGGAATGCTGGAAGATAGAAGTAAAATGGGAGAAATAGGAATGCCCGGAGATAGAGAAATAGAGAAAGGCCTCCCCACAACACAGCAATGAGAGAGCTTGGATTCAGTCTGCCTGATTAGGGCGATAAGCACCAGCAGGCAGCTCGACCAGAGTATGAGCTGCAGGTCACCGAAGATAGGCACGAATCAACACCAATAAGCCTCCCCACAATATGGCAATGAGAAGGCTTGGATTCGGTTTGCCTGATAGGGCTTGTAAGCACCTGCAGGCAGAGCAGAGCATGCGCTGCAGGGCACCGAACACAGGCACGCATCAGCGCCTAAAAACCTCCTCACAACATGGCGAAGAGAGGACCCGGATTCGGTTTGCCTGATTGATAGGACTTGTAAGAACCTGTGGCAACTCTAGCAAGCAGAGCAGAGTGTGTGCCGCGGGACACCGAAGACAGGCGCGTATCAACGCCAAAAAATAAAAAGAAAGGGGGATCTGTGGGGAGCAATTCGGACTAGACTGAGTTACTGGAATTAAGACTTATTCTATGCATCTGCTCTCCCACAATATGGCGCTGGGAGAGAAGAAAACAGCTTCTACCCAGCTGCCTCCAGTTCAGCCAATGAACTGTAGGACTTGCTCCTGGTTGGAGGAGAGCAGCGTACTCGGCGTGTGGGCAGCCGAGTTGGGATTGGCGGAGGAGGACTATAAAGGAGGAGAGAGACGGCATGCACCGAGGAACATCTAAGGGGAACATCTAGCTGAAGGAACACCTGTGCAGCCCCCGAGAGAGCCGGCCGGCGGTGTGCTGCTCCCCTGCGGAAGTGGGGAAAGTGGCAGGGGGAACTGCCCTTCCACGGAGGTGGAAGGGATAGTAGCCAACCCGGGAAGAACCAGCAGCAAACCCGGGGAGGGCCGAGCAGATGAAAGAACAGCGCAGGGTCCTGTGTCGTTCCTCCATGAAGAGGGGGAGCGACACGGATCAGCGCAGCACGCTGGCTGTAGCGGCCATTTTGGGGGTGAACCAATGGAAAAAGGAAGACCTTTCTCTCTGTCTCTCTCTCTGTCTAAATCTCTGCCTGTTTCTCTCTAACTCTCTCTGCCTGTCAAAAAAAAAAAAATCTATTTGTAGCACCTACTGATTTTTCAAGAGAATTCAATGTGCTACAAATTTATACTCATTGAATGTTACCTACCATGAGTAAATTTTTCCTCTTATCTATCACTTCAGGAAACATACCTGGGTGAGGGCTTTAAAGGTCTCAGTGTAGACTGGCTCCAGGGACACTCCACTTGTCTCTGCAGCATGCTGGATTTGGTGCAGCCACTTCCGTCTGGCGCAGTTCCTCAGACTCTCAATGTGACTCCTCTCTAAAGTATTCATTAGAAATTCCACAACGCTTTCCAGAACTTGATCTTCATTGCCCCTGAGTTCAGATACAACCAATTCTATGTATTTCTGAAATTGTTTTGAAGATAACCTCACTTCATGACCAGGGTGTGGTTTTGGAAACTGGATGTGTAATTTAGCTAAAAGACATAAACACAAAATCAAGAACTAACGAGAAATGTGTACATAGGTGTAGGAAAATTTCATTCTGCTCTTACAAGATGACGCTCTTAATTCTGCTTTCCCTGGAAAACCAGGGATATCAGCCCAATAACTTACAGTGACTTCCTGTGCTCAATCAGGATGACTCTGTGTCATCCTCTGTGTTTGTTTTGCTTTGTTTTAATTCTGCTACTCGGCTTTGTGAAACTCCAGGGTCTTCTTTGACTCCTACCTAAAATTTGCCTTCGTATCCAATAGACCACTTATCCTGTTACAGTTTGGCAACATATCTCATTGTCATTCCTTTCAACTCCACTTTTATAACCCCTGCTCACTTTTACCACTTTATAATTGACCTCCCAATAACAAGTGCTCCATATATTTATTATTAAATTATTATTGTTATTTTTAAAAGATTTATTTATTTATTTATTTGAAAGGCAGAGTTAGAGAGAGAGAGAGAGAGATTCTACCCACTGACTCATTCCCCAAATGGACACAACAGCTGGAACTGGGCTGATCCAAAGCCAGGAGCTAGAAGCTTCCTCTGGGTCTCCCACATGGGTGCAGGGGACCAAGCACCTGGGTCATCTTCCACTGCTTTCCCTGGCACACAAGCAGGGAGACAGATTGAAAGTGGAGCAGCTGGGACTTAAACTGGGGACCATATGGGATGCTGGAATCATAGGTGGTTACTTTACCCACTATGCCACTACTCTGGCCCCTAAATTATTATTTTTATTAAAAATTTACTAATCTTCTGTGCCACAACACTGGTTCCTAATGCCAGCCATTTTACTTAAGTTATTCGGAAGAGGATTTTTTCTTTTTTTACTACCACTGGACTTAAATGAATGTGAGGATATGAGACTGAACCTGGTCAGCACAAGCAGAAAGGTTATGACAATGGTGCTAACTCAAAGAAGAATGAAGGGGCAATGCCATTTTTAGAACTCTCAAATATTGTTGTGTCCTGAAGTAGCTCTGGGCTTCTCTATTACATGAACGAATAAATTCCTTTTCCATTTAACTACTTGGGGTTGGGTTTTCTACTTCTTGAACCAAAAGGGTCCTAAGTGAAACATCCTCAATTAGATTAAGGTAACTTGTGGGTTCTTCCTCTTCCACCTCTTCTCCTCCTCCTTTTATTCCTCTCCCTTCTTGAACAGTTTGGTCCTAAAGGCTTTCAGCAGAGCAGAGCAAGGTACATGTCTGCCCTTGCTCAGGGGAAGCCAAGATGGTACATGGCAGGGCAACAGTCAAAATGTGTTAAGTAGGGCAGGGTGGATTGGCATGAGTTTTCTGTGCCTTAGAAGGAAGGGCAGGGAGATTATCTATGTGGAAGAGCAAACTTCAGCCCATCTGAGTGAAGAAGGTGGCCTTACAGAGGGGTGATTTAAGTTGGAATGTCAAAGTCCAAGCAGGATGAAGAGCTTTGCATATTCTGGCTTGGTAAAACTTTATCCTGCAGAGTCCAAGATGCAGGGCCAGCCATTGACTCTTTAGGGTTCTGATAACGTCCTTCTGGAAAGATGCATGAAGAGGCCCCCAGACTCTGTCATGTCAACATCCTTAGTATGGGGACATGTTGGGTTTCTCTGTTCTTCATTAAACCCCAAAGCCACAGTCAAGTAAAGTGCCTCACAGTGCCTTCCCAACTGAGCTGGAGGGAACCCCAAATCTTTTCCCAGGAGCAGTCATCTTCTCAAGGGTCACTTCCATACTAATACTGCACATTTTGTGCTGACTTGCTGGGAAAGTTTTCTGTGTCATAGTCAAACGTCAGTATGCAGATCTTCTAGTGAGCTTTGCTTTGCTCTGGGTCAAAGGAGTGCAGGACACATAGACTACGATCTCACACACGTCCCAGCACAGGCAGACAGACATCCCCCAACCTGCATTCCTTGGTGGCTACTGAGCTTGCTCGCTGCTGCTCACTGCTGGGGGAGCTGCTGGCTTCCAGATTGTCCAAGTCACTCCTGATGTTACCCAAGCTGGAATGTGGCTCCAACTCAATCTGGTCTGCGGGGTCACTGCAGTGCCCTGGATTACTCACCATGCTGGAGAAATCTTTTCTTTATCCTGGCCATAGAGATGTCAATTGGAGTACCAATGTACTCCAGGTGAATAGTTTTCATAACCAGATGTGGAAGCCTGGGGAGGACATATCTTGGGACAGAGTAGCTACGGCAGCCATCTGCTGCAGCAAAGGGCCTCATGTTACTGTATCTACACTGAGTCCCATCGGCACAGTAGCTCTTCTGAGAGCATTTGCAAGTGGTAGATGGTTTGCTGCTCATCAAGTTCTATGAGGACTGGCTTTGATATCCTTCCCAATACATATCATACATAAAATACTCACAAGTGACCTGCCTGGTACTCTTGGTGATTGGGCTGAGGGACCATTGCTCCATGGCCCACTCTCCCCGCTGCCACCGCCACCTCTGATCTAAATCTCAATTTTTCATCTTGGATACAGAAAAGATATGAAGAGTAGGACAGAACAATAAACAAATAAAAGAGCTGTTCAAGATTTGTCATACTCAAATTTAGCATCTTCTTCATTCTTTTAAATTAAAAAATTTTAGAGGAAGAGTGTGAGAGAGAGAGATCCCCCATCTGCTGTTTCAATCCCCAGATACCCAAAATAACCAGGTCTAAGCCAGGCTGAAGCTGGGAGTTGGGAACTCTATCCAGGTCTCCCTTGTGAATGGCAGAAATCCAACCATTTGAGCCATCACCTATTGTCTCCTAGTGTTTGCATTATCAGGAAGCTAGAATTGGGACCAAAGCCAGGACGTGAACCCAGATACCAGTAAGGGATATAGCTATCTTAAATTCCTTTGTAAAGCAACTAATTGTGTTTTTCTTCCCCCATATTGCCATAGGTTTAGCGATCATCTCCTCAGGCCAGGTAGTGACCAATAGGATTACTGACAGTTGTTTTGTATCAGTCTTCCCTTGAAGAGAATAATTTGTTGTTCCTGCTTGCAGACTTTTTCATTAGACAACAGATGCTGCCTCCTTGTTGCGATCCAGCTCCTTGTTAATGCACCTGGGAAAGCAGCAGAAAGATGGCCCAAGTACTTGGGCACTTACACCCACGTGGGAGATCCAGATGGAGTTCCAGTCTTCTGGCTTTGGCCGAGCCCAGACTTGGCCATTGAAGCCAAATAAACCAGTAGATGGAAGGAGTCTCTCTCTCTCTTTCCCTCCCCACCCCCCATCTCTGTGTAATTCTGCCTTTCAAACAAATACACTTTTTAAAAATAATGAACATTTTAAATTTAGAAATAAGGTATATCAAAGGTGCCACATAAGTCTTTAAACCCAGTGAAGAGCAAAATCATTTGAACTGTGATCTAATAAAATAAAGGAAGGAATTTATTATAGTGGGATAAGAATTTAGTAGCTTTTGACTAGGAGGTATTAATCAGAAGAGAAAAACAGTGGAGGAGGAAAGGTCATTAAAGACAATGAGAAGTTAATAAATTGAAGAGAAACTTGCAAGTCACATAGACCTGAAGATGAATCAGACCTTGTGAAGTCAGAGATAGAACAAGAAAACAGGCATAACTGTTGACTAGGTTGGATTCTTATAACTTGGAGTGAGGGTAGTCAGGTACACAGCGGGCATCTAACCATATAGAGTTAAGGTCGTGGACAAAGCACTCCACAATGTTCTTTACTCCTGAGTATGCTGACACATACATGAGGGCCTCAATTTTCTCCTTATTTTGGTAACCCTTGTTATTTTTTTATTTTTAAATTATACTCATACTAGTAGTTATGAAATGGCATCTTATGATTTAAGAATAAGCAACATGCTCACTGTAAATATGTTATAGTACTGGGAAACCTGAAGTCATGTTGTTATATATTCTCATATTTTACCTTTCTTCATAGATTCTTTTTCCATTCCCTGCTTGTATGTGTACAGGAGTTCATCAACTTCCTTAACATCTAGGAAGCCTGAGCTGTCACTGTCCCATTTCTGAAAGAGGGCTTCTAGGAGAAGCCCCCGTCGGACTCGGAAAGCATTTTGTTTTACCTAAGAAAAACAGAACAGAAAGACAGGAAAACAAAACACAGAGAATATAGTGTTCATTGTGCCAGCTGACATCCTGTGATTATTCCAAAAAATTTTAAGCATCATATATGTATGTATGTATGTATATGTATATATACATATATGTATGTATATAGCTTTACTTTGGGGCTAAGCATGATATTAATGCAAAATTAATTTTAATGCCCTAAATGTCATTTTCCTTTTCCCCTCTAGACAAAATAAGCAACTCCCCTCTCTCCCCCTCAGGAATTCTCTGCATTGGACACATTAACTTAGGAAGGTTCCTAGAAGCCTTAGAAATCTTTGATCTTGGGGCCAGCACTGTGGCGTAGTGGGTGAGGCCGCCGCCTGCAGTGTCGGCATCTCATATGGGCACCGGTTCAAGACCTGGCTGTTCCACTTCTGATCCAGCTCTCTGCTGTGGCCTGGGAAAGCAGGAGAAGATGGCTCAAGTCCTTGGGCCCCTGTACTCATGTGGGAGACCCAGGAGAAGCTCCTGGCTCCTGGCTTCAGATTGGCTCAGCTCCAGCTGTTGCAGCCAATTGGAGAGTGAACCAGTGGATGGAAGACCCCTCCACCCCCACCCTCTGCCTCTCCTTCTCTCTGTGTGTAACTCTGACTTTCAAATAGATAAATAAATCTTTTTTAAAAAATCTTTGATCCTTCCTTTCCACTCTCTTTTTGTTTGTTAGGACTGTGATCAACACATGGAGTGCTCTGCCCGGCTTCTTAGTGAGATGTGTGTTGTGGCGCAAGGCAATGAATGACTGTGTTCACACAATGAAAAAAGGATCTTTTTTAAAAAATTATTTTTACTTAACATTGACTTGAGATTAATTTTTTTTTACCTTCTAGACTTTTTGCTAGAATAGTTCTATTAATTAGATAGTAATTGAATTAACAGCTGGGTAGATTTCATGACAAAAAGAACACATGGGTAAATGATGGGAACTACAGCTGAGGAAGCAAAAAGGACACCAGCTCTAGCATGAAGTTGAGAAGACTCACGAAGCTGATAAAATTGCTGAAGAAGCTTGGTAAAACTAATTGACATATTTCATATGAGAGGACAAATTATTCACATAAGGTAATATGTAGGCATTTATCTAACACCCAAGTAAGTATTAAGTCCTTAGGAAATATGTACTACTTGGGTGCCAATGAGTAAAAATATACTCTAGCCATAATCATACCCCTAGGTATGTGCACTTGTAAACAGACTCACACATAATGTACATGTATGTCCTTACACATACACATGTATGCGCCTGAAAACCTAGTTACCAAGCTTTAGAGGAGGAAAAAGCAAAACTGCATAATGAACCGCCCTGTACCAGGAGCAGCCATGTTATTATTAGGAGAATGATTTCTCTGGAGTGTGATCTTAGAACACTCACCAATAGACTAAAATATAATGGCTATGCTTGTGAAATAAAGTTTTTTAAGCAAAGCCACGCTAGAAGCAACTGTGATGGAGAGGTTTACTTATGATAGTGACTTCACTTGTTTCATTGATGAATATTACCCACCTGTTCTAAGGCACTCATTTTCTCTTCTTTTCTCTCAACATAGCCCCGCTTAAAAAATGTGGCCAGGGTCTCGCTGACACTCAAGGAGGTATCTTCACCAACAAACGTCTCCAGGAGTTGCACAAATTGGAGCAGGTTGAAGGAAACTCCACTGAAGGCACTCCTGCCTTTTACTTCCTTGTAAGACTGAATATTTCTTATAATTGAGTGTAAGTCTGTCAAGCAGGAAACACAGGCCAGGCAGTAAACAATACTCTCAGATCTTAGGGAAAATAAATGAGTGCCTATCATAATAGACAACTGCTATTTCTTCCTGTCAGGAGCCCATGCTATTTTGCCTTTTCTTTGGGCAAACTTCTCTCCTCCACTGTCAGTTCAGGTGACATTAAGCCTCCTCTCCCTTACCCCATGGGTGACCAAGGGACATAGGTCTGGCCAACATTTCATACATGACTGCAAAGTCACCCACTATAGGACACGATAGCCCAGAATTTTTAGGGAAACTAATAGCAAAGAGTCATTCTTCAGGTACTCTGACTGCGGCACTAGTAGGATGTAAATTTAGTGATGCTCTTGTGGACATTTTTGCCACAGTATGGAGAACAGAGCTCAAAAGCAGAGAGGTAGTGGTTCTGCTGTTATTTTTGAGCTCCTGTTTTGGTTGTTTCTGAAGCCAGTTAAGCTCTGGGCTTCCAACTTAAATAAATAAGTAAATACTAACACCATGACTTCTCCCTCAAAAGTGTGTACTAATATGCTTATCTAGCAGTTCAATGTTACAGCATGAAGCTGTATTTCATATATTTATATTTCATAAAATATCTATCCAGTGACTTATGTTTGATTTATTCATTGACTCAATCATGCCCCCATGCTTTCTATACGGGATGTGATGATTATCCATGCAATTTTTTAAAATGGTAAAACAAATTGAAACAAAGACTACCAGGAAGAAGAATACAAACTGGCAGGTTACAAGAGTCTGACCAATGCCATACATTTTTGCCAGAATATTTTGAGGATAGAAAGTTTGCTGTTTGGCCAGGCTTAAAGTAAGCACCAATAGCAAGAAATTATTTTTCATATAATTATTACTACTATTTGTTGATACGTACAGCAAAATGATAAAATAGAATTTTAGTAAAATATGAGTAATTTTCAGAACAATCGAATAGAGTTTATCCCAAAGCCCAAAATTCCTGTTTCCTCTGTTGAGTAGATATTTCATTGCAAGTCTTCAAACACAAGATAGATTCTTCCCTGTCTTATATTTGGATGTAGTCATACTAGGAAGAAGAATAAGTAGATTGATTTCTATTGAGTTCTACTATCTGAATTCTTTTTGTGTGCCTGGATCATGGTTTCAATGCAGTTGAATGGCCATGTAACAGCTAAGAAAAGTTTTCTAGCCCTGTGCCATGGCTCAATAGGCTAATCCTCTGCCTGCAGCACTGACACACCAGGTTCTAGTCCCAATCGGGGCGCCAGATTCTATCCCGGTTGATCCTCTTCCAGTCCAGCTCTCTGCTGTGGCCTGGGAAGGCGGTGGAGGATGGCCCAAGTCCTTGGGCCCTGCACCTGCATGGGAGACTAGGAGAAGCACCTGGCTCCTGGCTTCGGATCAGCACGGTGCACCGGCCGCAGCGCACCGGCCGCAGCGCGCCGGCCACAGCGGCCATTGGGAGGTGAACCAACAGAAAAAGGAAGATCTTTCTCCCTGTCTCCCTGTTTCTCTCTCTCACTGTCCACTCTGCCTCTCACAAGAAAACAAATGAATATGACAGAAATACAGTGGATGGTTTTCTAACGCCATTAAGTTTGAAAGCAGAAAAGCATTCACCAATAGCATAAATCACCATCAATAGTACACCATCGCCAAAAATATCCATCTATGTGGGTTCCTCATCATGTTTCTGATTCTCTGTATAGATCCATAGCTCTCAGGGACAAAATAATGCAAGGATCACTCTACAATTGCATCTTAGATAAATCCAGTTTTTATCATGGAGTCCATGGTAAATTAAATCTATCCACTGAACCATCATCTATGCTTCCTAGTCTTGTTGTTAATATGTACCTGTGAACCTAGAGTTGCCATAGATTAGGTTTGCCTGTTCCTCATCTTCAAATTTGACATACTTCATTCGCCAGTTACAAGTCAAAAATTCACCTGTAAAACACACATTCCAAAACATAGTCAAGTTAACTTTGTTTTCACTGTGATTTTGTTCCATGGTGTAAATTAAAGGAGGATTAAATGAGTTACCTGACCATGACTTTCCTTCCATTTTTTGGGATTTAGGTTCACAGGATTTGTCTTTCTGTGCTTCCTTTTTTGTAGCTCCTAAGATGTACAAAAGAAAATGTCTATGAATTGGACATTATATATTCCACTAGACATGCTAAGATTAACAGATGAGAAATGCCTTGCACTTAGAACACCAAAAGGTACTTTCCCATATATGCTGTGTCATAATCAGCCACAATGAAGTTATTTAATAACTTCATTTTTTTAACAATAGTTCTGTGTCCAAAGCTATTTTTTATATCCCAATCTAGTCAAGAAAAATTCAGAATACATTTCCCAGCCTCTCTCACAGCTAGGTATGAATTTAGGTATGCCTAACGTTTGACCAATGAACTGTCAGTAAATATTTGGAATGCAAGATGCTTTCTGTCTTAAGTATGTCTTTCAGAAACTCTTCTAGAATATATATGTAGCAGAAAAAAGTAAAATCCATTTTTATAGTTGAGATAAAATTTTAAGAAGTGTTTTCTAATATCAGATACTATGTTGAAAACAAAATGGCTTCTTCTGCCCTTTCAGATACCCTATTAAAACACTTGTATATGCAGCATTACCAGATTCTTTCCTTGCAAATGGATTTTAGTGAAAAAGGACTTCTAGGTAAATTGACAATAGTGATATCGGTTTGCATGTAATTGATTATTCAAGATCCAGACTCATGTTGAATAGTAAAATATGACTAAAGTTGACATGACCTGATATGCTAGAAGATATCTTTTTAAATGAGCATTTTTGAAAAGGCATTATAACCACACCACCAACCAGGAGTTGATACTGTAAGAGAACTGCATTGCTACCTGAAATATGATCTTTTTTACTTGATGTTGGAACTTCCCCTTGCAATTCAGACCTCACAAGTGGTTCCTCTTCATATGCTTGCTCCGAAGAACTCTTTTCCTGTGAGGGGATTTCAGTGTATCCAGAAGGAATAGCCGCCCTAGATTTTGTACTTTCTTTTATGTTACTTTCTTCTCTTGATTGTGAAGTTGAATCTATGTCCTGTTGTTCTTCTGGAGTTGTCTGTCTTTGGGGTCTTTGTTCTGACTCCTTGTGTTGTTCTTCTACTATGGACTCTCTGTGTGATCTGGATTCCGAAAGTGATACTCTTTGCGATCCTTGTCCCCCTTCTGATCCTTTGTGCTGAAATTGTCCTGATACTGACTCTCTCTGGGACCCTGGTTCTGCAGCGGACGCTCTACGAGCTCCTGGTTCGATAGTTGACCCTCTGCGGGACCCTGGTTCTGCAACGGACGCTCTACGACCTCCTGGTTCGATAGTTGACCCTCTGCGGGACCCTGGTTCTGCAGCAGATGCTCTACGTGCTCCTGGTTCGATAGCTGACCCTCTGCGGGACCCTGATTCTGCAGCTGACACCCTACGTGCTCCTGGTTCTATAGTTGACTCTCTGCGGGTCGCTGGTTCTGCAACTGACACTTTGCGTGGTCCTTGCTCTACTACAGACCCTCTGTGTGATCCTTGTTCTGAGGCTGATAGTCTGCCTGGTTCTTGTCCTGCTGTTGATCCTTTGTATGGTTCTTGTTCTGGTACTAACTCTCTAATTGATCTTCGATCTGGAGTTGACTCCGTGTAGGCTCCTTCTTCTGTTACTGATTCTCTATGTAGTTCTTGTTCTGCAGTTGGCCTTCTGCCTTGTTCTTCAGTTGAAATTCTGTGTGATCCTTGTTCTGCAGTTGTCACTTTCTGCTGTTCTGGTGTGTTGAGTGATGGTGTTGATTTTCTCTGTTCATTGCGTTTCTGTTGCTCTTCTGAATTTTCTAACAATTTGCTTTGGTTTTTGCTGTCATTTTTTTCAGAAAGTAATGTATTCATCTCTAAGAGCACTTTGTCAAAGTCTTCATAAATGTGCTTCTGATTATCCATGTCTCCCCAGAACTCAGGCAGGACTATCTCTTCAAATTCAACGAATGGCCCTAATGCAGAAAACAAAACATTTACCTAAACAAATGATTATATAATACAGAATTAGAGCTATTAAATTAATGCAAAAAATTAAGTACAGTGATTGTAATAAATGTTATCCTTCACTGCAACACAATAAAAAGCAAAAAGGTACCCAAAGGAACCTAAAAAGTGCTCACTACTGTGAATTAGAGATCACTTCTCACTAAAAGGCATGGTTTTTGGAAATGAACATAATTATTCTTTTGCAATGTGGAGTGTAGCTTGGACTGCCAAGGCAAATAGAATTCATCTTCCACCTTTGTTCTTCTTACAATACGCAGAGCATAGGAGTGGAGGAAGGGGCACATTTTATATTTCAAATATCTTTTCAGTATAAAAATAGAGCAAATCAATATCCATGACAATCTTTTACACAGGCTATTTTAAAAATGATCACCTTTCTCTACCTTCTTCTTTCTTATTATTACTCAATTATTTTCCTACACAACTTATGTAGACAACTGGTTCAGAACTCTAGGGAAAGACTGTAGCATTCGCTAGAATCCCACTGTTACAAAACAAGAACAGGAACAGGCAATTGGCTCAGTGATTATTGCTGCTTGGGATACCCACATCTCATATCTGAGTCTCTGGGTTTGAATCCCAGCTCCACTTCTTTTTATTTTTTCCTTATTTTTGAATAATTTTAATTAGTTTTTAACAGATTAAATATGGTTTGCAGATACAATTCTAGGAATATAATGATATTCCCTTCCTTCCTCCATCCCTTCTTCCCTCTCACCTTCCATCCTTCTCACTTTCTGTCTTTTTCAGTTTCTGAGATAATAAATTTTAAATTTACCACACAGTAAAAAGGCTTAATACTTCACCAAATAAGAATTTTAACAAGTAAAAGTAAAAAGACCCTAATTCAATGGGAATATAGACAACAGCTATAAACACTAATTGAATGGGAAAAAGACATTTCCCCCATATACAGTAAATTTTAACATAATCAGAATAATTATAACTACAGTAGTATAACTTTTTTTTTTTTTGACAGGCAGAGTGGACAGTGAGAGAGAGACAGAGAGAAAGGTCTTCCTTTTCTGTTGGTTCACCCCGCAATGGCCACTCCGGCGGCGCACTGCGGCTGGTGCACTGCGCCGATCCAAAGCCAGGAGCCAGGTGCTTCTCCTGGTCTCCCATGGGGTGCAGGGCCCAAGGACTTGGGCCATCCTCCACTGCACTCCCAGGCCACAGCAGAGAGCTGGACTGGAAGAGGGGCAACTGGGACAGAATCCGGCTCCCTGACTGGGACTAGAACCCGGTGTGCCGGCGCTGCAGGCAGAGGATTAGCCTAGTGAGCCGCGGCGCCAGCCTAGATTCTTAACCATTGACTTGACAAAGTTATAAAACAAAGTTTTATAAAACCATATTTACAGCAATACTGATACACATAGGCATTTCTTTCTTTTCTGTAAAAAAACTTTAGCTCCCACACATAAGGGAGAACATGTGGTATTTGTCGTTCTGTGTCCAGTTTATTTCACTCAACATAATGTCCTCCATTTGTGCCCATTTTGCTGCAAATGGTAGAATTCCATTCTTTTTTATAGCTGAATAACATTCCATTGTTTATATAAACCACATTTTCTTTAATTCCAGATTTTGGCTACTGTGAACAGTGCTGCTGTGAATATGGTGGTGCAGGTATTCTTTCATCTGTGTTCATGTCTTTTGGGTATATACCCAGTAGTGGGGTTGCTGGATCATACAGCAAGTCTATTCCTAGTTTTTAAAGAAATCTCCACACTGTTTTCCACAGTGGTCACACTAATTTGTATTCCCACCAACAGAGTATAAGTGTTCCCCTTTCTCTACATCCTTTCCAGCATTTGTCACTCTCTGCGTTTTGGATTTTGGTCATTCTGACAGGAGTGAGATGATCTCTCACTGTGGTTTTGATTTGTATTTTCCTGATGGCTAGTGATGTTGAACATTTTTTCATATTTATTGGTCATTTGTATCTCTTCTTTTGAAAACTGTCTATGAAGTCCTTTGCCCATTTCTTAACTGGATGGGTTGTTTTGTTATTGTTGAGTTTTTAAAATTGCTGTTACCAGCTCCACTTCTAAATTTAGCTTGCTGGTAATGTGCACCCTTGGAGGCAGCAAGTGATAGCTCAAGTACTTGGGTCCCCCACCCATGTGGGAAATCAGAATTGAGATCTGGGCTTCTGGCTTCAGCCTGGCTGAGCCTTTGCTGTTGCATGCATTTGGGGGTGAATCAGTGGATGAGAGATCTCTGCTTGTGTGTCTCTGGCTCTCTCTCTCTCTCCCATTCAGTTAAGAATGGTCAAGAATGGAAATTAATGCATTTAAAATGCATTAATGCATTTACAAACAACAACAAAATCCTGATGTGCAGGACTACAGAGTAGGATTCGTGCCACAAGACTATCCCAATCACCTCCAGAAATGTTTGGAAGTTAAGCTATAAAATTGATATGCCCACAATTTTCAGAAAAACCATATGTATACTATACACAGATTTTTAAGCATCCAAATAATAAATCTTCATGCAGAAATAAAATATTAATATTTTTTGGAAAACCCAGAAATTAAAAGATTTTCTCTAAAAATGAAAAATAAAAAATAAATTTTTATTTATCTTGGTGGTAATATAAAAAGGACATTTTACCATGTAAGTATAGTAAAGGTATGCAAGTAAAACTGCTTGGAAAAAGGAAGTATTTTTCTTAGAAATCTTAGTATTCTAGGTTGGCATTGAAAATGAAATTACTATTACCAACATAATTTCCAGAGAGACAAAACATCACATGATTTCACTCACATGTGGAGTCAAAAAAAATTGGTGATTTTGCAGAAGTTAAAAATATAATGCTTGTTATCAGAGCTGGGGAGGGACATGTGGTGGGAGGGACAGAAGAGGAAAAGTCGATTAACGGGTATCAGGTTATAGCCAGATAGGAGTAATAATTCTGAGGCTCTTGCCCAGTAGGGTGACTTTATATAACGCTAACATAACGTATATCTATCTCAAGAACTCGGGAAGATAGGATTTTGGGTGCTTTCATTATTAAGAAATATTAAATCCTTGAAAGGACAAATATTCCACCTTGATTGGACATTATATGATGTATACATGCAACAGAACATCACATAGTACCCCACAAATATGCCCAATTTTTATGTCTGTTAAAATTTTTTAAGCAAAAAAAATTTAAAAAACACAAAAATTTCCAAAATGAACTATCATCAAAGTATTTCCTTTCAAATGGTTTAAAATTGAATTCTAGCTGAGTTCTGACATGCCAGTTTTGAGTACTGAACTTTTGTGAAAAATACATCTAGTTCTGACAAAGAATGAATTTTGTGGGGGAAATGAACAACTAGAAATAATGCAGTTACCATGTACTAAAGGAGATGATACATGGAGGGATTCCTTGGTTGTCGCTCCCCCTCTTCGTGGAGGAACGACACTAAACCCTGCCTAGGCTTCATATCCGAGTCACGGCACCATTATGTCGCTCCCCCTCTTCGTGGAGGAACGACACAGGACCCTGAGCTGTTCTTCTGTCTGCTCGGCCCTCCCCGGGTTTGCTGCTGGTCCTCCCCGGGTTTGCTGCTGGTTCTTCCCGGGTTGGCTACCATCCCTTCCACCTCCGTGGAAGGGCGGTTCCCCCTGCCACATTCCCCACTTCCGCGGGGGAGCGGCACACCGCCGGCCGGCTCTCTCGGGGGCTGCACAGGTGTTCCTTCAGATAGATGTTCCTGGTGCATGTTGTCTCTCTCCTCCTTTATAGTCCTCCTCCGCCAATCCTAACTCGGCTGCCCACACGCCGAGTACGCTGCTCTCCTCCAATCAGGAGCAGGTCCTGCAGCTTGTCAAGTTAGTGAGAGGCAGCTGGGTAGAAGCTGTTGCCTCCTCTCCCAGCGCCATATTGTGGGAGAGCAGATGCATAGAATAAGTCTTAATTCCAGTAACTCAGTCCAGTCCGGGTTGCTCCCAACACTTGGTGGTGGAATGATTTTGTGTTATCAAATCAGTGTACTTTATCACTGCAATTTGAACATACTCTCTCCAAGTAGCACTTACATTGTCTTGGGTTTCGAAGTAAACTCCTAAGCATCTGTGGACTTTGGTCATAGAACATTTCCAGCAAGGCCAGTGTCCTCTGACGATCCAAAATCCCTACCTAAGCAAAAAGTCTGTAATTAGTTGTTACAGAAGACTTAAGGCTTTTACATAGATAGAACATGACTTGCTGAAGCTTCTATCACCTCCACCACCACCACCATCATGTAAATAACAGCATTAGGAAAGCAGTCATCTTGCCTTAGGCTTATATTTGATTTCTCCCGTCTGTGACATGTTGAAATGATTTACACATAGATGGTTAACAAATATTTGTCGTTACTGACTTCAAATGTATGATGTCCAATTCTGGGGCCAGCTTTGTGGTGCAGTGGGTTAAAGCCCCAGCCTGCAGTGCTGGCATCTCATATGGGTACCAGTTTGAGTCCCGGCTACTTCATTTCCAATCCAGCTCCCTGCTAATGTGCCTGGGAAAGCAGTAGAAGATGTTCCAAGTGCTTGGGCCCCTGCACCCATATGGGAGACCTGGAAGAAGCTCCTGGCTCTTGCCTTCAGCCTGATCTAGCTCTGACCATTGTGGCCATTTGGGGAGTAAACCAGTGGATGGAAGACTCTCTCTCTTCTCTCTCTCTCTCCCTTTTTTAATAACTATTTCAAATAAACAAAATAAATCTTTTTTTAAAAAAGCATGATGTCCAATTCTTACTTAACTTGACCTGGGTATGTCACCTGAAACAATTAACTGTTCTCTTTATGTCCTTTTAAGAATTATTATGGGAGTTGGCACTGTGTCGTAGTGGGTAAAGCTGCCACGTGCAGTGCTGGCATCCCATATGGGCGCCAGTTTGAGTCCCAGCTGCTCCTCTTCCAATCCAGCTCTCTGCTATGGCCTGGGAAAGCAGAAGATGGCTCAAGTCCTTGGGCCCCTGTACCCGCTTAGGAGACCGAGAGGAAGCTCCTGGCTCCAGGGTTCGGATCAGCACAGCTCCAGCTGTTGCGGCCAATTGGGGAGTGAACCAGCAGATGGAAGACCTCTCTCTCTCTCTCTCTCTCTCTCTCTCTCTGCCTCTGCATCTCTGTAACTCGGCCTTTGAAATAAATAATCTTTTTTAAAAAGAATTATTATGAGAAAAAATTTAGTTACAGAAGAAGACAAAAAATAATAAAACTAACATCTATGTTCCTAATACCCAGAAATGACTGTTAGTATTTTGTGTAAATGCTTTCAAAAATAACTGATGCTTCTCTCTGCAAATTGCTTTTATTTACTCAACATGGAGATCTAGTTGATATATGTAAAAAAGCATATTAATTCCTTTTAACTGCTATATGGAATTGAATAATATAAAGACACCATAATTTAAAAAAATTATTTTATTTATTTGAAAGACAGAGTGACAGAGGAGACAGAGGGAGAGAGAGAGAGAAAGAATTTTGCACCTGCTGGTTCATTCCCCAGATGGCCAAAACAGCCAGGGCAGGGCCAGGCCAAAATCAGGAGGCTGGAATTCCATCCAGGTCTCCCATGTGGGTGCAGGGGCCCAAGCACTTGGACCATCTTCTACTGCTTTCCTTGGTGCATTAGCTAGAAGATGAATCAGAAGTAACCAACCAGGACTCAAACTGGCACTCTAATGTGAGATGCTGGCATCAAAGACGGCAGCTTAACCCACTGAGCCACAGTGCCAGCTCCTGTAACTTACTTAAGATTGCTCTAGTGATGGACATTTAGATTGTTTCTGGTATTCTTATACCAAAATCATGCTGCATTGGATATTCTTATATACATCTCGTGTACATATGAAAACATTTCTCTAAATAAATAAATTACTGGATTGTATAATATGCAATCTTTTCAACTTTAGTTGAAAATTTTTTCTCATAATAATTCTTTTTTAAGAAGATTATTTATTTCAAAGGCTGAGTTATAGAGATGCATTTTCAACTTTAATAATTATTGCCAAATTGCTCCACAAATTACCCATATCAACTTAAACTCCCACCAGCATAATATTGCTCCATATCCATTCCAGTACTTGTTATCGTTAGAGTTTTTGATGTTTACTATCTCATGGGTTAAAAAAAGATACCTGGTTACTTTAATTTGCATTTCCCTGATTATTAGTAAGATTAAGTATACTTTAATATGTTTATTATATATGTGAGTTTTCTCTTGCACGAATGACTTTTTCATGTTCTTTTCTCATTTTTTTTGGAAAGAATAGCCTATTTATTTTTTTTTTAAATTACGTATTTATTTGAAAGCTAAGGAGAGTGAGGGAGAGACAGAAAGAGAGAGAGACAGAACCTTCCATCCGCGGGTTCACTTTCCAGGTGGCCACAACAGCCAGGACGGGACCAGGCTGAAGCCAGGAGTCAGGAGTTTCTTCCAGGTTTCCCTCGTGGGTTGTAGGGACCCAGGTACTTTGGCCATCTTCCACTGTTTTTCACAGGCCATGAGCAGGGAGCTGGATTAAAAGTGGAGCAGCCATGATTGGAACTGGCGCCCATATGGGATGCTGACTTGGCAGGTGGTGGTGTTACCCACTATGCCACAATGCTGGCCCCAGAATTGCCTATTTCTTACGAATTTGTAAATTTTGATAATGTTCATCCTGTTATCTACATAGGAAATATCTTTTCCCGGTTTAATGCTCATCTTTCAATTTAGATTGATGAGTTTAGGCACGTCAGTATATTCAATTTTGAGGTAGGCAAACATGTCAGTCATTTCTTCTGTGGTTTGTGCTTATTTGGAGTATTCTTTAGGAAATAATTACCTATATCAAGGTAATTTGCTCTATATTTATTGCTAAATTTTTGCTTTCTACATCAAGCTTCTGGTTCACAGAGCTCATTTTTCCTCATTAACGAGGCTGAAATTTAATCTTCTATGTTTTTCCCAATATGGAAAGTCAATTGTCTTAATACCATGTATTATTAGTCGTTTTCTCCTACTGATTTAGATCATTACTGGTATCACACACTACATTCTCACATTTTGATTATGATGCCAGGGCCAACATTCTGTTCCATGGTTTTTCTTTTCTTTTTAAAAAGATTTATTTATTTAAGACAGAGTTAGAGAGAGAGAGGGAGACACACACACACACACACACAGAAAAAGAGAGAGAGAGAGATCTTCCATCTGTTGGGTCACTCCCCAAATGCCTACAATGGCTAGGGCTTGGCTAGACCAAAGCCAAGAGCCTGGAGCTTTTTCCGGGTCTCCTACATTGGTGCAGGGTCTCAAGCACTTGGGCCATCTTCCATTGCTTTTCCAGGTGCATTAGCAGAGAACTGGATTGGAAGTAGAGCAGTTGGGACTTGAACTGGTGCACATATGGGGTGTCACTGTTGCAGATGGTGGCTTAACCTGCTACACTAGCCCCTCACTGGTTTTTCTATGGCACCAAAGCCAAGCTGTTTTAATTAACTTTATTTTTAAAATTAAAAAATGCTTCCCAATTTATTCTTCATTCTAAATTATTTTGTTATATTTTGACTTTTATTTTTCTTTCTGAATTTTTTAAACTAAATAAAAAAAAAAAAGACAAAAGGAGCTGGTGTTGTGGGGCAGCAGGTTAAGGTGTTTGTGATACTGGCGACCCATGTGGAAATTCTGGTTCAAGTGCTGGCTGCTCTGCTTCTGAAGCAGCTCCCTGTTAATGTGCCTGGAAGAGCAGCGGAAGATGGCCCAAGTATTTGGGCCCGTGCCATCCATGTGGGACACCAGGATGGAGTTTCTGGCTCCCAGTTTCAGCCTGGCCCAGACCTAGCTGTTATAGCCATTTGGGAAGTGAACCAAAGGATGGTAGGTATCTCTCACCCTCTCTCTATTGCTCTGCCTTTCAAATAAATAAATAAATAAATATATTGAAAGACAATATACACACAGAAAAGTACATAAATCATAAATTTATGTTTTTATAAATCATCAGAATATAAACATACACAGGGGCTGTTTTTCAAGAATAGTAAATTTCTTGTGGACAGCATAGAGTTGGGTCTTCTTTTTTATTTTTATACATTTGGTCAGTCTATGTCTTTTAGTTGGGGAATTTAATCTGTTTACGTACAAGGTTACTATTTTTTTAAAAGATTTATTTATTTATTTGAAAGTCAGAGTTACACAGAGAGAGGAGAGGCAGAGAGAGAGAGGTCTTCCATCCACTGGTTCACTCCCCAGATGGCCACAATGGCCAGAGCTGTGCTGATCTGAAGCCAGGAGCTTCTTCTGGGTCTCCCACATGGGTGCAGGGGCCCAAGGACTTGGGCCATCTTCTATTGCTTTCCCAGGCCATAGCAGAGAGCTGGATCAGAAGAGGAGCAGCCGGGACTATAACTGGTGCCCATATGGGATGCTGGTGCTTCAGGCCAGGGTGTTAACCCGCTGTACCACAGCGCTGGCCCCTCAAGGTTACTATTAACAGATAAGAATTTATTCATACCACTTCACTAATTGTTCTCTGATTGCTTTGTATATTTATTCTTTTCTTCTGATCTTATTGCTTATCTTGTTGGTGTTGTGGTCTTCTATAGAGATAAAGTTTGATTCTTTTCTCTTTTCCATTTGTGTGTCTGTTTTACCAGGGAATTTTATCCTTTTGTGTGTTTTCATGATAATGGTAATAGTCTTTTCACTTCCAGACAAAGGACTCCCTTAAATATTCCTTGTAAGACTGATCTAGTTCTGATGAATTCCCTCCATTTTTGCTTGTCTTGGGAAGTATTTTATCTGTTCTTCAATACTGAAAGACAACTTTTCCGGGTATAGTATTCTTGATTGGCAGGTTTTTTTCTTTCAAGATTTTGAATATATTATCCATTCTCTTCTGTGCTATCAGGTTTCAGTTGAGAAATCTGCTATTATTTTAATGGAGATTTCCTCATCTGTGACTTGACACTTTCTCATTTGTAGAATTCTCTCTTTGTCTTTGACTTTTGATAATTGGAGTAAATGCCTTGGGCAGGGTCTTTTCTGGTGAACCTACTGGAACTTCTTTGAATTTCCTAGATCCAGGTAGCCATTTCTCTGTCAAAATGTGGACCTCCAGCTCCTGACTCCAACTCTCTGCTAATGTGCATCCTGGTACACAGCAGTATGGCTTTGTGATTGGATCCCTGCCACCAGCTGGGACACCTGGAGTGAGTTCCCAGTTCCCAGCTTTGATCAGGCCCAGTCTGGGCCATTTCAGGCATTTGGGTAGTGAACCAGTAGGTGAGAGCTATCATTTTGCTCTTGCTCTTTCTGCCTTTCAAATAAATTTAAAATTTTTTAAATATGTATTTTTAATTTAAATATGAGGGTACTTTGAAATGTTCATAGAGGGGCTGGCACTGTGGCGTAAAGGGTAAAGCCACTGCCTGCAGTGTGGGCATCCCATATGGGCACTAGTTCGAGTCCCAGCTGCTCCATTTCCAATCCAGCTCTCTGCAATGGCCTGGGAAAGCAGTAGAGGATGGCACAAGTCCCTGGGCCCCTGCACCCACATGGGAAGACCCGAGAGAAGCTCTCAGCTCCTGGCTTCGGATCAGCGCAGCTCCGGCTGTTGTGGCCAACTGGGGAGTAGGCCAGTGGATGGATGACCTCTCTCTCTCTCTCTGCCTCACCTTCTCTGTCTGTGTAACTCTAACTTTCAAATAAATAAATGTTTATAGAAAACATGCATTAGGAGAAAAGTAAACATAAATTTCAAAAAATTTGCACCGACATACACTTATCATTTAATTACATTTTTTCCACAAACTTTCTTGAAATATCCTCATAGATATATCCAGATTGCTTTACAATTAGTTTTACAAATATAATATACTATTGATTCATTTTTCACCAGAATTTTTTTAAAGATTTATCTTATTTATTTGGAAGGTAGAGTTACTGAGAGAGGGAGGAGGGGGAGAAAGAGAGAGATCTTTCATCTGCTGGTTCATTCCCAAAATGGCTGCAATGGTTTAGAGCTGGGGCAGGCTGAAGCCAGGAGCCAGGAGCCTCCTCCAGGTCTCCCACATGGGTGCAAGGGCCTATCTTCCAGTGCCTTTTTTTTTTTTTAAATTTATTTGACAGGTAGAGTTATAGACAGTGAGAGAGAGAGAGACAGAGAGAAAGGTCTTCCTTCCGTTGGTTCACTCCCCAAATGGCTGCTACGGTCAGCGCTGCGCCAATCTGAAGGCAGGAGCCAGGTACTTCCTCCTGGTCTCCCATGCGGGTGCAGGGCCCAAGCACTTGGGCCATCCTCCACTGCCCTCCCAGGCCACAGCAGAGAGCTGGACTGGAAGAGGAACAACCAGGACTAGAACCCAGTGCCCATGTGGAATGCCGGCACTGCAGGCGGAGGATTAACCAAGTGAGCCATGGCGTCGGCCCCTCCAGTGCCTTTTTAAGTGCATTATCAGAGAGCTGGATCAGAAGTAGATCAGGTGGGACTTGGACCAGAGTTCTTATGGGATACTGGCATCACAGGTAGCAGCTTAACCCACTGTGTCATGATGCCAGCCCCAACCAGGAATTTTTGAGAAAATGTTTTTCTTTTATTCCTTTAAAATATTCTTCTCTATCTGTTGAGTATACAGTGATTCTATGAATTGCATGTTCATATACCTTGCCTATTTTTCTTTGGGTGCTTATATAGTTTCCTATCATCACCATTAAAGGGAACATCTAGTTTAGTGCAGCCATAGTACTTGTTGACTCCAAGTGTGGTGCACAGAATTCTTCCCATTGAGTAATCTAGAGGTTTTGTTTTGGTATTTGCTGGTCATGCTCGTGGTTCTCCTGTTCCAACCCCAAATGTATTCCTAGGAGTGTTTTCAGAATCTTATAGCTATCATCTCTGCATGCCTACTCACACCTACTCCACTTCATACACATGTGTTTAGGAATACTTATCACCTTCCTCTGACCACAGGAGTGTTTGTGTGCACATGCAGGTCTGTTGCCTACCCCTATGTTCTGCAGCTGCTACACTTCCTCTTTAGTGGCATTTTGGATTCAGGACTTCCTACGAAGCTTGCAGTCTCTGGGCTATGTGAAAGAAATGAGTGCCTGCTATTCTTCATTTTCCCTTCACAATATCTGGAATTCCCAAGAGTGTCTATGGAGTTGCTCTCAACCTTTAACACTGACTGGGTCTAGGGATGGGGACCAGGTGCTCATCCTGACTTAGGGACCCAGACAGCCTCTAACCTTTAGTCATATCCTCTTACAACCTCCTCCTCTTATCAACTGGTCCCAATTTCCCAGTGATAGAAAACTGCTTTGCTATCATATTTTGCATTCTTCCTTACTATATTATTCTTTATCCTTTCTTAAGAGCCTGGAATTTCATCTTAAAGTCCAGGCTTCAAAACTCTTGTCTCATCCTGGTTAAAAATATTCATCCAGCAACTCAATTAACTTCTTCATTCTATACATTATCCATCATCTTTCTAATATGAGCATAAAACTACTGTTTGAATGTTGGGCAGGAAAACAAAGAACACAAACAAGATTCAGTTAATTCGTAAATACTGTCCCATCATGTTTGCTATTGCACATAAGTAAAAATGGACAATAGAAAACAGCTGTCCTCCAGACACTGTACCAGGTAGCAAATTCTTGATGCTGATGTCAGGCAATTTTTTTAAAAGATTTATTTTATTTATTTGAAAGGCAGAGTTACATGGGCCGGGGGTGGGGGAGAAAGATCTTCCATCTGCTGGTTCACTACCCAAATGGCTGCAATGGCCAGGACTGGGCCAGGCAAAGCCAAGAGCCAGTAGCCTCTCTGGGTCTCCCATGGAAGTGCAGGGGCCCAAGAACTTGGGCCTGCTCCCTCTGACTTCCCAGGCACATTAGCAGGGAGCTGGATCAGAAGAGGAGCAGCCAGCTCTTGAACTGGTGCCCATATGGGATGCCAGCCTTACAGGTGGTGGATTAACCCCCTACACTGCAACGCTGGCCCCTTCACCCAAGATTTACAGTGAGCTCTGTTAAAAGAAGCAGTATGCAAGGAGGACTGCTGAAAGGCACAAAGGTATTTCAGACTATGTTCCTGATTTAAGTAAAATTAGCAGGGATCTGAGAGCCTGGTCCGCAATATATTGGTTCCTGTAAGAATTGCTTTTTTGAATTGCAGTTTTGCTTACACTTAAGGTGACTATAAGAAACTGCTTAAGAAATTCATTGTTTCATCAATCACATGTTCATCATAAAGGATGCTCACTTTGTCTTAAAATGACTTCTTGCCAAGAAAGTCTTGGCTATTCTTTGAACCCCAAATTTGTGTACTTCTTCCTAGCACCATTCTATATTTATCTTATAAACATCACCAATAGTGTGCTTAGTCATTCATTTTTTTACATTCTCTGCCAGGAAACTTAGATTCAGACTTGTAGAAAACCCACAACAAATATTTAGGTCACTGTGGCACGCATCTGTCAAATAAATTAAAAAAAAAAAAAAAAGGAAATACTTTCAGGGCTGGCGTTGTGATGTAGTGGGTAAAGTCACTGTCTTTGATGCTGGCATCCTGTATGGACACCAGTTCGTTTCCTGGCTGTATCATTTTCCTTTATTATTATTATTATTATTATTATTTGGACAGAGTGGACAGTGAGAGAGAGAGAGACAGAGAGAAAGGTCTTCCTTTGCCATTGGTTCACCCTCCAATGGCCGCCGCGGCCGGTGCGCTGCGGCCGGTGCACCGTGCTGATCCAAAGGCAGGAGCCAGGTGCTTCTCCTGGTCTCCCATGGGGTGCAGGGCCCAAGCACTTGGGCCATCCTCCACTGCACTCCCGGGCCACAGCAGAGAGCTGGCCTGGAAGAGGGGCAACCGGGACAGAATCCGGCGCCCCGACCGGGACTAGAACCCGGTGTGCCGGCTCCGCTAGGCGGAGGATTAGCCTGTTGAGCCACGGCGCCGGCCTATTATTATTATTATTATTATTATTATTATTTTGACAGGGAGAGTTAGACAGTGAGAGAGAGACAGAGAGAAAGTAGTCTTCCTTCCATTGGTTCATTCCCCAAATGGCTGCTATGGCAGGCGCTGCACCAATCTGAAGCCAGGAGCCAGGTGCTTCCTTCTGGTCTCCCATGCGGGTGCAGGGCCCAAGGACTTGGGCCATCCTCCACTGCCCTCCCGGGCCACAGCAGAGAGCTGGACTGGAAGAGGAGCAACAGGGACAGAATCCAGCACCCCAACCAGGACTAGAACCCCGGGTGCCGGCACCGCAGGTGGAGGATTAGCCTAGTGAGCTGTGGCGCCCGCCAGCTGTATCACTTTCAATCCAGCTCTCTGCTAATGGCCTTGGAAAAGCAGCCAAAAAAAAAAAAAAAAAAAGATGGCCAAAGTGTTTGGGCCTCTCCCACTCATGTGGGCGACCCAGATGAAGCTCCTGGCTTCTGCCCCGTCCAGCATTGGTCATTGTGGCCATCTGGGGAGTGAACTAGCAGATGGACTATCTTTCTGTCTCTCCCTCTGGCTCTGTAAAGACTCTTTCAAAATAAACAAATACATTTTTCTGTTTTAAAGAAACAAATGATAAATCCTGAAATGCAGTGCCACTAAAGGTGTGATCTATAGGCTATCAATTTGTTATGAGCAAAGTACAAATATTGAAAATAACATCTAGAAAATTTTATAACAGTTTGAGAGAATAAATGACAATAAACCACACTGAATCTAGTTTACAATGTGAATTGCTTTGGATGTCATTCCTCCACTCACCACAATCCACTTTCATTGCAGATCAGCGAACAGAGTGGAAATCTGAACCACCACCTACAAACTGGTCTTTTGCAACAGACTGTTTGAGAGCAACGCTGTAACACTCCTGACCTACCTTCCCTCGGTCACAGTACAGGAAGAGTTCAGCAAATATCTGCCTCCGCATGTCAGCTTTTATGACCTCCCTGAATTCATCTGCACAGTGACAAAGGTGCTTCAGGAGTTCCTCAAACGTTTCACTTTTAAAGTCTGCAATGTGCGAAGAGATGTACTACAGAACAAAAGAGGATAAATGGTTAACTTAAAACTGTGCTCTTTATTTGGATTTTCCCCAAGAATTGGCCATGTGCGTATAACTATAAGGTCTGCAAATGTTTCCATATCATTTGCTTGTTATTTAAAGTATGTTCATGTTAGTGCTACTCTATAGATTCTGCTGCAGAGAGGTGACCAGTGTAGTCCCCATTATTATAACTTCTGGAACTAGATATTTTTCAAGCAATTTCTTGAACATATAAGCATTATACAAGGGAGACTATGAAATAGCTTCAGTCCTAAAATATTGCCTATAAACTAAAAAATTGGATGTAGTCTTTCTATTGGTATACGGCATGCAGGAGCATGTGTGTTTCAAGTGTGAAACACTTTGAGCATGTGTGTTTGCAGTGTGAAAGACTGGGATTGTGGGTAGTTGTCTTCTGATACTGCAGCGGGGTGTTTTGTCTGTGACTTTTTTTGGAAGTATAGGGACCGGGGGCAGTGCTGTGGCATGGCAGGGTTAAGTTGCCATCTGCAGTGCCAGCATCCCATATGGGTGCTGGTTTGAGTCCCAGCTGCTCCACTTCTGATCCAGCTACCTGCTAATGTGCCTGGGAAAGCACTGGAAGATGCGCCCACATGGGAGACTTGGATGAAGCTCCTGGCTCCTGGCTTTGTCCTGGCCCAGGCCTGGTAGTTGCAGCTACCTGGGGAGTAAACCAGCAGATGGAAGATCTCTCTCTCTCTCTCTCTCTCTCTTTCAAATAAATAAATAAATGTTTAAAAAAAGAAAGAAAGTGTAAGAGCTGAAAATATCTATGCTCTTGGACCACGTCTTTGATCCATGCTGAATAGATTCCCAGAAGTGAGACTTTCAGCATAGAAAGTAAATTCATCTGTGTGTTTTGTAGGTTTGATGTCAGGCTTGTAGCCTTTCGCACTCTCACTACTACTGTGAGTCATTATTTCTCCTCAGTCTCCCTTGTTGGTATGTATTGCTGTCTGGATTTTTGCCAGTTTTATAGGTGAGAAATAGTATATTCTTTTTAAAAAATTATTTATTTATTTGAAAGAGAGAGAATGAATGAATCTTCCATCTGCCGGTTCACTCCCTAAAATGGCTACAACAGCCAAGCTGGGCCAGGTTGAAGCCAGGAGCCAAGGGCTTCATCCTGGTCTCCCACGAGAGTGCAGGGACCCAAGTACTTGGGCCATCCTCTGCTTCTTTCCCAGGGAGCTGGATCAGAAATGGAGCTGCTGGGATTGAACCAGCATCCATGTGGGATACTGGTGTCACAGGTGGCGGCTTTACCCACTACATTACAACACCAGCCCCAGAACAGTATATTCTTGATCTATACCTCACTATAAGAGACACAAAATATCCTATGATAGAGAGAAATGATCAAGCACTGGAAGTGTTTCTATGGGGACTCCCCTTGAAGTGTTAGCCCAGCTCATAGTTAATGATGTCCTCCCTTACCCTAAGCAAAGAGGAAGATAAATTAGACTGTATGATCCCCGTTTCTACAGAGATAAATGATTGGGGAAGGCATTCAACCTAAGCAAGACCATTCAGATTCTTTCTACTGGGAACTGGGACTTAGGACTGAGGAATGGCCAGTTGGTTTCTGAGTAGGACTAGATTTGTGAATGTATCACAGAGGCAAAGCTCTATCTCTACTCTCTTGGAGCCTTCTACTGAAGCCTAGAATTAAATTGACATAAGGTAGATTAACAAGGGGGTAAATGTCACAGTATAGAAGGTTAAGCTGCCATGGTGACACCAGAATCCCATATTGGAGCACCGGTTCTAGTCCCAGCTACTCTGCTTCCAACTCAGTTTCGAGATAATGTGCCTAGGAAAGCAGTGGACGATAGCTCCAGGACTTAGGTCCCTGTCACCCGCGCAGGAGATCCAAATGGAGTTCCTAGCCCCTGGCTTCAGACTGGCCCAGCCCTGGCTGTTGCAGCCATTTGGGGAGTGAACTAGTGGATGGAAGAGCTCTCTCTCTGTCTCTCTGTCCCTCTTTCTGTTGCACTGCTTTTCAAATAAATAAATAAATAAATAAATCTTTAAAAAATAGACTAGCAAGAGAAAATTCATAGACAATTCATAGACATCTGCTGTGAGGTTTTTTTTTTTTTTTTTTTTTTTTGACAGGCAGAGTGGACAGTGAGAGAGACAGAGACAGAGAGAAAGGTCTTCCTTTACCATTGGTTCACCCCCCCAATGGCACAATGGCTGACGCGCTGCGGCCGGTGCACTGCACTGATCCGAAGCCAGGAGCCATGCAGGTGTCCCATGCAGGTGCAGGACCCAAGCACTTGGGCCATCCTCCACTGCACTCCCGGGCCACAGCAGAGAGCTGGCCTGGAAGAGGAGCAACACGGCCTATTGAGCCGTGGCGCCGGCCTACTGTGAGTTTTATGTGACATGAGAGTCCTCATAAGTTTAGAATGTAGACTCAGGGATCCAAGATGACTAAAAAGAGGGAAGACACACTGATTTCAGCCATAGAAAGGTACCAGAAAAACAAAGGAAGGACCACGTTCCCAGGGGATTGCCCAAGAGAAATTTTCAGTGGGGAACGGACAGAACAGAACAGAGACTCACGGAGCAGCAAGGAGAAAGGACAGACATGCAGCAGCCATTGCATGCTGCTAGCGACTCCTGTAGCTGGAGCCTAGCTGGGAAATGCCATCTTCCCGTGACACTGTCGTTTTTTTTGTTTTGTTTTGTTTTTGACAGGCAGAGTTAGACAGTGAGAGAGAGACAGAGACAGAGACAGAGACAGAGAGAGACAGAGAGGAAGGTCTTCCTTTTCTGTTGGTTCACCCCTCAAATGGCTGCTATGGCCGGAACTACGCCAGTCCGAAGCCAGGAGCCAGGTGCTTCCTCCTGGTCTCCCATGGGGTGCAGGGCCCAAGCACTTGGGGCATCCTCCACTGCCTTCCTGGGCTACAGCAGAGAGCTGGACAGGAAGAGGAGCAACCGGCACAGAATCCGGCGCCCCAACCGGGACTAGAACCTTGTGTGCCGGTGCCGCAGGCAGAGGATTAGCCAAGAGAGCCGCGGCGCCTGCAACACTGTCGGTTTTGACTGAGAGAGAATCTCATTGACTTTGAGTCCAGCCAGGGGAGCCGGTGGGAAGCAGGACATTCACTTTACTTTGCGGAAGGAGACTGTTGTTTCCTTCCTCTCCCCCCCCCCCCCCCCCCCCCCCCAGCTACAGACTCAGTTTCCTGAGATGGAGCTGCAACTGACCTCTGTCCTGACTTAGGGAATAGTAGCCTGCGTGCTCAAGGGACGGGGCAGCTCGCAGGGTGGAGAGTGGACCATCTGCACCCAGTGATTGTGGGAGTTCCGGCCATAGGACATGGAGCTAACAGACACAGGTTGTGGCTGGGTTTCTGGTCACCCTCCCAGTCCAACTCCAGAAACTCAGATCACCTTGAATGCTGGCAATAGATCTTGCAGAGGGCTCGGGAGTCACAGCTTGCATTCCTGAGTGGATTAGGTACACAGGTACTATGAGCTTACCCGGTGAATCAGCTGGGGCTGTGAACACAGGAGCCAGCATCAACAGCTCCTCCCCCTATTAACTGTAATTTGAGGAGCCCCACCATGCCCAACCTCTCTGTCACTCTGGATACTTGCCCCACCCACAAATCCCTGGCCCCACACACCTCTGGAACTGTGGTGTAAGACTCAGGGTTCCCACAAGCTACAAAGACACATTTCCAAGAACAAAGCTTTGAGAGGAGAGAATAACAAGTGATTCCCTAGATATGTAAAATTCAACGTAAAAATACAAGAAACGTGGATAAAGAAGGCAATATCTCTCCCCAAAAGGAACACAATGATGCATTAATAATCGACTGTGAAGATGGGGAGGTTGATGGAGTTCTTGAAAAGGAATTCGAAAGAATGATTATAAGATTACTTAAAAATGCAGAGGAACAGTTACATGAAATAAGGAAATCCACATATGACATGGATGAAAAATTCCAGAGACAGAAATATTGAAGAAAAGCCAAGCAGAAATATTAGAAATGAAGAATTCAGTAAGTCCAATAATAAATACAGTGGAAAGCTTTAACAACAGACTTGGTGAGTCAGAAGAAAGGATATCCAATGCAGAAAATAGGTTATTTGAAATATCTCAGTAAGACAAAAAACAATAAGAATAAAAATGAGAAAGACTGAAAATAGTGTTTGGAATCTATGATATACACTATCAAACAACCAAATATACAAGTCTTAGGAGTTCCTGAAGGTATAGGAAAAAAAAAGAATGGCTTATAAAACATATTCAGTGTAATAATAGCAGAAAATGTCCCCAATTTGGAGAAAGATATAGATATCCAATATAGGAAGTGCATGGAAACCCAAACAGGAATGATCAGAAAAGATCTTCGCCACAACACATTATAGTCAAACTTTCAACATGCAGAAAAATACCCCAAAAGCATTCAAGAGAGAAATGCAAGATTACCTTTAAGGGATCTCCAATCAGATTGATGGCAAATTTCTCAACAGAAACCTTACAGTCCAGGAGAGAATGAAGAGATATAGTCCAAGTACAAAAAGAAGAAAACTGTCAACTCTAAATAATTTACATAGCAAAGATCTCATTCATAAATGAAGGGGAATTAAAGACCTTCCAAAACAAACAAAAATCAAAAGAACTTGTCATTATCCAGCCAGCCTTACAAATGATGCTTAAGGATTCACTACACAGAGAAACAGAAAAAGATAGTAGGTATCATGAAAGAGACAGAAAACCTCCTAGCAAATGAACAAAGGAGATTCAAAACAAAAAATAGTGATATTTGTGGGAAAATGGCAGGACTAAGTCACTAATAATCTTGAATGTAAATGGACTACACTCTCCAATTAAAAGACACAGTGTGGCTGAATGGATTAAAAACCGAAATTGCTCAGGCCAACATCGTGATGTAGCAGATAAACCTGCCACCTGCGATGCTGTCATCCTAAATGGGCATCAG